TGGAGAGAGAGAAGAGTCAGGAGCTGAAAGCGGAGCATCACCGGGCGACAGTTGCCGTGACAGAGCTGAAGACCAAACTCCATGAGGAGAAGCAGAAGGAGCTGGCAGTTACCAGAGAAACGTTACTAAGGCAACACGAAATGGAGCTGATGAGGGTCATCAAGATCAAAGATGGAGAGATTCAACGTCTGAATGGACTGGTGCTAACGCTGAGGGATGGATCCATGGACAAGGTGATCCACCTGATCCACACCTGATCTACCTGTCTGTCTGCATATATTCCTGTCTGTCTACCTGCCTCTTGAAGACATTGAAGAGAGGGGCCTGAGTCAGATGTTCTCAGTTTATCCTAACGACCTTTTTGGGTTTACCAGCATCTAGGGTTAGGGTTAGGGTTATACAGCACAACTCACCACCACATGGTGAGTTGTGCTGTATATCTGGGACACTCACTGTCAGCTGGTCACTGACTGAACGGCGGACAGTGAGTGTCCCAGATATACAGCTGCAACTCTGATGGTACAACCACAAAGTTGGTCATTGATCACCTCAGGTGTTCTAGTACCAGCTACACTTATGAACCACTTATTGCTTAAGATGTGTTTGTTATTGACAATCTATCACTTGCATATACATGTGATAAGATAACTCTGGTCAAGATTAGGCTTTTCCTTCTAGACACCACAATCCAGGTTTCTCCATCCTTGTCCATGTGACCTTTCCGGTCTGGCTCCAGGAGGGGGGTGCTGGTCTGTCTATGCTTGGCCCCTTGCCATGGACCAAAGCGCCTTAGGTGACCTTGCCAGTGAATGTTGCCCCTGACAATACATCAAGTCATAGCAATATGCAACCCCCTCAACCATATTAAGGTGGTGATTCTTGGAGTTATAGAGGATAATTTAACTCCTCCTCCTCAGGTGTGATAGATTATCTCACAGTCTTTGTCCTGATGTTCTTCAGGTGAGGAGCGCTCTGCTGGCAGAGGTGGAGGAGGCGAGAAGGAGCTGGGAGGCAGAGCGATGTCGCCTCCAGCAGGAGGTTCAGGAGCTGCGAGGAGCCAAGAGGTATACTGAGGAGGCTCTGACATCGGCTCAGCAGGCCTGCCAGGCCCGGGCAGCCGAACTACGATCAGCTCATCACCAACACCAGGAGGAGCTGAACAGGACCAAGAGAGACTGTGAGCGGGAGATTCGCCGACTGGTACGAGGCACCATCACACATACATGACTACATACATGTCTTTTAACATGTGCATAATTGCCAACACATCTTGTTTTGGTCCCGGTGGATCAAAAACTAACTAAAAACCATACTAAACATCATCTATCTACCTCATGACTTTTCCCAATTTGATGTGTCACAAAACACACCAAATTTTTCACCAAACAAAAGTCACTCCTGTCCTGATGTTTTTAGCAGGACTCATCAGGAGTAATTCACTGTCTGTCCACTGCTGCGGGTATGAAGCCTCACTGTTCAACAATAAACTTTTAAAAAGTATCTTTAAATGGCAGTCAAGTTAATAAAAATCCAATCAGCTCACCGACCCTAACCCATATTTCTAAGTGCACATTCAATGATTCACAGCTGCAAGAAATCAGTAAATCTAACTATAAATGGAGGACTCTTTCTCTTTCTTCCTGAAGGTCCTTCAATTTTCTCAACAACTGCTTATCTGATCAACTTCAGACATTGTTGAGAAGTACCATGTTGACTGTGAAGTTTTTAGGGCTGGGGCGACATATCCACATAACTGATATCATTTATTACCATGGAATGACACTATGAGGGCAGTGCAGCTCCCAGATAATTTACAGTGTGCACATGCCAGTGTTGGTTGTATTTACTGTATTTACCAAGTGGTTTGAGCACATCGATCAGAGGGCACAGATTTCTATAGACAAAACTACACATTTACACATGGATCTTTTTTTCCACCAGCCCAGGGGGGCTCCATAGCCCCATACATTTGGTATGTTTGTGTAACAGGTAATTTTCCATTCAAAGACTTGCAGTGTTGAGTGTGAAGCTGTTTGCATGATGCTCTGATGTAAGGTGCAATCTGGATTGACGCAGGTCAGACAATCAGCCCCTACTGACAGGCACATTTTTAATGAGCACTGCACTAGCAAAGCAAATTTCAGGGCCATTGCTGAATTACTGGATAAAACTGGTGCTACATGTAGGAGCTAATTGTAACATACTTTAAAACTAATGGTTTGCAGATTCTTGTATTTTATTTAAAAAATACAAGTGGTGTGAAAAGAAAATACAAAACAGTAAAGGTCATGTCTCTTATTTCAGAAAAATAAAGGACAGAGGAGAGATCATAGAAAATCCAGAATAAATGGTAAAATATTCACCTAAACCTGAAATTTTGATACACAAAATAATAAATGAAAGAGGTATAGACCTTCAGACCTTCACCTACATGTTAATGTAAACAACAATAAATAAACAACAACAATAAATTAAACAACAAACATTTTGGGAACGTGAGGAAGAATGTCAACAAAATGCAAAGGGTTAAAACACAGACTGTTTGTTTTGATCCAAACATACCATAACACAACAAAAGACACAAATGAGAACAAAAGTGGATGAATGTGTTCATTCCTTCACTGGTGAATGAATACATTATTAACATGGACACATGAGAAAACAAAGAATGACTGAGCCTCAAAGACTGGTACAATACAAGACACAGAGTCAAACACAGACTGGTACAATACAAACAGCCTGACAGACACAACATGCTCTATATGTGCAGAACAGTCTCTCTTCACTTACAGCTGCTGCTGTGGTTCAACTATTACATGTAAATGTAAGAAAGGCAGAGGTGAACACCTGACTTAATTTCAAATGCAATCCTGAAGTTTAGGCATCAAATCAACACGGACACTAACAGGTTAGTTTCACTCTGAACTCATTAATTTGTTCATTTGAACAGTCAGGAACAACTGACACAAATGAACTGAGCTGATCAAAACACAGAGACGTCTTATACAGATCTTTATCAAATACAAGTTGTGGGGCGTCGTGGGGCGTCGTGGGGCGTCGTGGGGCGTCGTGGGGCGTCGTGGTCTAAGCAGGCGCCCCATGTGTAGAGGCTACAGTCCTCGCTGCAGTTGGCCCCGGTTCAAGTCCCGGCCTTTGCTGCATGTCATTCCCCCTCTTTCTGCCTCCCCATTTCCTGTCTCTCTACTGTACTATCAAATAAAGGCATAAAAAAGCCCAAAAAAATATACTTTAAAAAAAAAAAAATACAAGTTGTACAGATCCACCTGGTTTCCCCCCCAGTGTCCTGGGTCCAGGATGAGTGGATTGACACAGTTAGGGTTAATGAAGCCTAACCCTAACCTCTACTCAGGACGTCTATACCTACATCCATCTCATTATCGTGGACACCATATCTCAATAGCATCTTGATGCAATTTCTTCAAATTTGGCACAAATGTTCACTTAGACTCAAGAACAAGCTGAGATTTTGGTGGTCAAAGGTCAAGGTCACGGTGACCTCACAAAAATATCTTTTGCAATTACTCAAGACTTCACAGAATTTATGACAAAATTTCACACAAATGGTTCATATTTTATGTGTCATGGTTTGTCATGATGTGTGATGGACAATTTATGTTTGAAGACTTTTGGACTCTTATGTTTGGACATTTGTTTCATTCCTTGTTTTATTTTGCATAACTTCCCTTGTGTGTCTTGTTGTTATTATACTCCCTGTCTTTGTCCTATTTCCTTCCTTGTTGATTGTCTCCCCCACCCTATTGTGTTTCACCTGTGTTCAAGTACCCTTTCCTTCCTTTTGTCTATTTAGTCTCTGTGCTCACCTTTGTCTTTGTCAGTTTGTCCTGTATTCTGTGGTTCTCCTTTATGCCCTGATTTGGATTTTTGAAGTTCCTCGTGTCTTTTCCTACTGTGTTCCTTGTGTTTTTGGCTTTTAAGTATTTGATTTTATTTTCTCTATGATTTTGATTTTGAGTTCTCAGCATTTTCAGCATTTTAGGAGGTTTCTGTTTTCTTCTTCATTTAATAAATTACCTTTTCACTTACTTTGGATGGTCTGCATTTGCGTCCTTTATAACTACAAAACCTGACAATATCACTCTGGATAAACAGGGATGTAACCTGAAACTAGTCGGAGTGGAGGAGGCAGTAATGCTAGTTTTTTAACTAGTTTCTCTCTCTTTACATTAGTTCTGAGGGTTAGGGTTAATCATCATGATGCTGGTGTTTCTCTCACTGTCAGGGTCATTTTGGTTCAGGTTTCTTTTTAAAAATGTATGCATGTTGTATTTAGGTATCATTACCATGGGTCTGATTTGGATTGTATCCAAAATGTTGCACCTGTGAAAACCTAACCTGTAGGTTCATGTTCACCCGAGTGTTTGATTTTATATTCAGGACATCTTTCATCCCCTTGTCTGACAGACTAACCCTGCCCCTCTCCTACCTGTCTCTCTACCTGTTTAACCACACCTCTAATCTGTCTGTCTCCCTGTCTGTCTCTCACCTGTCTGTGTGCAGATGGATGAGATAAAACTGAAGGACAGAGCTGTCAGTGTTTTGGATAAAGCCTTGGGGCTGCAGGCTGGACATGCTCACCGCCTCCAGCTGCAGACTCAGGCAGCCGAGCAGCAAATCGCAGCCCTGAGAGATGCACAGAGGGCGGGACTAAACCACCCAGGTCACGCCCCTAGCCCCACCCCTAACACTACTCCTCATATTGTAAGCGCCGCCTCCTCCTGCTCATACTGCATGATATAAAAACAGTCATTCACTTCATGTCACAGTTTACATGTTACCTGATCTGTTCAATCATCACCTCAGTGTACAGGTGCCCTGAACACATTGCAGCTACTGCAGTATCTCACCAGTAGATGCAACCTGCAGGAGCCAGACTCTGTAGATCTAGGAAGCCAGACAGTTGATGTGGATCAACATAACAGCTGTGAATCCTGATGCTGTTTGGTTTCTTTAATCCTTAAACCTGACTATTACTGAACCATCATATGGGTTTATGTCCTGACCACCAGTGTGAATTATATACGCTTTGTTTCAGTCTCTAAATACTAAAGTACCTTTGAGCCTCAGCTGTCATTTTCTTGGAGAAGACCCTCAGAGATGTGAATGTTTGATCTGGTTTCTACAAAGTTTAAAAATGTGGCTTCATCTCGCCTTCCTGAAGCAGATTGTTACTGCAGGAAATAACTCTTCACACTGTACTGTGTGTGTGTGTGTGTGTGTGTGTGTGTGTGTGTGTGTGTGTGTGTGTGTGTGTGTGTGTGTGTAGTCCCAGGAGGATCGGGACACTCGGAGGTTTCAGTTAAAAATTGCTGAGCTCAGCGCTGTTGTCAGGAAGCTGGAGGATCGAAATGCTCTGCTGTCTGAAGAACGCAACGAGCTGGTAACACACATACACGATAAACATATGCTTGTACTTCTCTACTTGTGAGGACACCGTTGGACATAATGCAGCATAGCTGAATGTCTGACCTGATTCTTTGTCTTCATGCAGCTGAAGCGTCTGCGAGAGGCCGAGAGTCAGTTTCTTCCTCTTCTAGACAAAAACAAACGTCTCAGCAGGAAAAATGAGGAGCTCGCTCTGGCTCTCCGTCGTCTTGACAACAAGCTTCGCTTTGTCACCCAGGAGAACATGGAGATGGTAACTATGGTAACCCCTGGCCCTGGTGACACATTGACAGACATAGTCTGAGTGCTGCTTCTCTCAGTCAAACCAGTAGTAACTCCACACTGGACCAGTTAAATGAACTGAAACTAAACAGTTGGTCAAGAAAAAACATAACAAAGGTAACTCATGTAGACTTATATTTATATTATTAATTCATTAATAATTAATTTATATCTATATTAGCAAAGACCTGATATTTTTTAACATCGTACCCTACCATATGAAAATAGAAGGGAATCATGTTTTGGAAATAAATAATTATAACAGCATGTTGAAGCCAAGCAGTGGCTAAATATTAAATCATAATGAAAAAGAAAATAGTTACATGCTAAAAGCTAACTAACCTACCTTATAGCAGTGTTAACTGTTGTCTATTCAGTTTCATTTATTTAGTGGTTAAATAACCAGAATCAAAGCAGAACTAGCACAGCATCAGTCAACAGTGTTACCATGGTAACAGCATCATTTGTTGTCATCAACAGAGGAGACCGAGTTCATTAAATGACCTGGACCGCAGCCACTCCACCAGTTACCATGGTTACAGCCAGGAGGAGAGAGAGATGGAGTTTCTAAGGTTACAGGTCCTGGAGCAACAGCACATCATTGATGACCTGTCCAAGGTAGTATACGATGTTAAATGACTGTAGTGTTAAATGACTGTACCACAGGTTAAATGACTGTACTACAGTGTTAAATGACTGTAGGACAGTGTTAAATGACTGTAGTGTTAAATGACTGTACTACAGTGTTAAATGACTGTACCACAGGTTAAATGACTGTACTACAGTGTTAAATGACTGTTGTGTTAAATGACTGTACCACAGGTTAAATGACTGTACTACAGTGTTAAATGACTGTAGCACAGGTTAAATGACTGTTGTGTTAAATGACTGTATTACAGTGTTACATGACTGCAGTGTAAAATGACTGTACCACAGGTTAAATGATTGTAGTGTTAAGTGACTGTACTACAGTGTTAGATGACTGTAGTGTTAAATGACTGTAGTACAGTGCTAAGTTTAGAATCACTGTGCTTTTTTCAGGCTCTGGAGACAGCTGGTTATGTGAAGAATGTTATAGTAAGTATTGAGTAGTACTAGTTATTACTGTTAGTACTAGTTATTACTATATTGTTATTGTTGTTGATCGTGTTGTTGATCCTGCAGGAGAGAGACATGTTACTGAGATACAGGCGTCAGGAGTCAGTTAGGAGGAAACGAACCTTCAGAGCCTGCAGAGTGAGACTGAACACACACACACACACACACATATACACACACACACACACACACACACACACACACACATACACACACACACACACACACAACTAAAAGCTCTGACAAAGTAAGTGTGGTAGTGTTATTACAGGTGTGTTAAAGTTTTCACCTGACCTGCTGATGTCAATAAAAACACAAACTCCAGATGATCCCTGGTTTAACATAAAGAACTAACCAACTGTGTGTGTGTGTGTGTGTGTGTGTGTGTGTGTGTGTGTGTGTGTGTGTGTGTGTGTGTGTGTGTGTGTGTGTGTGTGTGTGAGTGTGCAGGTTATAGAGACATTTTATGGTTATGATGAAGAAGCGTCAGTGGACTCTGATGGATCATCTTTGTCTTTTCACACTGACAGAACTCCAGATACTGAACCAGAGGAGGTAACACACACACACACACACACACACACACACACACACACACACACACACACACAGACACACACACACTGACCGGTGTTGTTATTGATCTGACTGTGTGTTTCAGGTGTGTGTGCGTGAGGAGGCGGAGCTTCGTTACCGTCAGCTGACTCAGGAGTATCAGGCGCTGCAGCGAGCTTACGCTCTACTGACAGAGACGAGCGGGGGAAACTATGACGCAGAGAAAGAGATCAAGGTGACCACAACCTCTGAGCAAGGCAGCAACAGAGAGAGTGTTTTGCTTCCTGTAATGAGGCAAGGCACTGACTGATTGATGGTTGTATTCCCTGTGTCTCAGACCAGAGAGCAGCTGCTGACTGAAATCAGTCGATATCAAACCAGAGTCGCAGATCTGGAGTCAGCGCTGAACCAACAAGGACTGGTAACACACACACACACACACACATTCACACACACACACACATACACACACACACACACACACACACACACACACACACACACACACACACAAACTCAGGATTGGTCCATACACTAGGTGAGAATATGATCTGCCTTCTGATTGGTTGCAGGGTGAACCCCCTGGAGAATAGGGGTGTGTCTTCATGCTGATGAAAGGAGCAGGGAACCAATGTGAGCCAGTCAGTGCTAGAACAGTAGAAAATAGAACAGGGATGCCGGTCATGTTCCATAAAGGTCCAAACACTGTCGCCTCCACCTGCTGCTGCTTGATCAGCAGATTAGATTCACCTGAGCCTCGTGAGAAACATGGCCACAGGGGACACCTGTTCAGGTCAGGTATCTCATGAGGCTTCAGGTGAACAGCAGCAGGTCCAAGCTGGTCAGGACTTTAAAGTTACCAGAGGATTTGAAAAGAAAAGACTCAAGCATCCAACAGGAGCAGCAACGAAATCTGAATCCAACAACCTGAAGAATCAAGAGTTTTCTGCCAAAGGAACCAGATGATCCACCTTAAACTCCACCTTAAATTCCACCCGAGTGGAGGGAAGCATTCATAGCTGAGAGGGTAACACCAACCCAGAGTTTACAAGAACAAAGACACAGCCCACTGGCCAGGTAGAGGGGAGGGGCTAATCTGTGACATCACCTGGTCAGGTGCTCAGTCAGAATAACATGCAGACTGTTGCCTTTCTGTGGAACATGACTGAACACTTCTGATGTAGAACCTAGAACATAGAACATAGAGCAGGTCTGTTAGAGGTCTAAGCTGTAAATGAAGTTCAGTTCAAACTGCTGTCTCTCTCTCTCTCAGGATGTGGAGTGGGTGGAGGAGAAGCAGGCATTGTATCAGAGGAATCAGGAGCTGGTGGAGAAGGTGAAACACACACTGACAGAGTTTATTCCACAAAGAAAAGTCACTTTAACGCAAAGTCAGTTACCATGGTAACGCACTCTGTGGAGCTAACCCTGAGTTTCTGTCTGTATCTGCCCCTTCTGACATGGCGCATGATTGGACGCTAGTTTGTTACCTGAAACTGATCTTTACAAACGTTACCTTTTTTATGATCTATCAAATCTGAGAGGACATGAGACAGATTGAAGCTCAGATTAAAACCTACATACTGAGACTTTGTGGACATTAAGTCAATCAGTTCCCCTGCAGTAAAACATTTACTTTACATTCATTACTGTAAATAAAAAAGACTCTGATCAAAGAAGATTATTTTCTCATGTTGTGAAGAACAGTCCTGTCAAAGCTGTCAAATCATACTGTAGATTATGTGATATTTCTGAGTAAGGATGAAAATACTTTAAAAACTATATAGGCTGCAGATAGTCTGAACCTGTTTTAACAACATTTCAGTCACTGTATATAAATTTAGTACATGTTCCAATACAGTCACTGATGCTGTTAAATGTAGACATCTGAAAATTTAAGGTTTAAAGTCTTTTTCAACTGAAAATCACCAAAATCATGCAGTTGTTGCTGAGTCAGAATCTAAGGTTACAATCATAGATCTTAAACTTCTGTCTGATCTGTTTCATCTATCTCTGTAAACATCTGTCTGATCTGTTTCATTTCTATCTATAAACATCTGTTTCATCTGGTTTATATATCTCTATAAACGTCTGTCTGATCTGTTTCATCTATCTATAACCTTCTGTATATTCTCTCTAGCTGAGGCAGATGGAAGGTGAAGAGCTGCGACTGAAAAACGACATTCAAGATGTCAAAGATCAGAATGAGCTGCTGGAGTTCAGGATCTTAGAGCTTGAGGTAAACACACAAACAACAACATAAACTACAACAATAAGTTAAAACAGTCTGACAATACAACAACAAATTAAAACAGACTAAAATAAACAACAACAAATCAAAACAGTCAGACAGAAATAAACAATAACATAAACAACAATAAATTAAAACAGACTAAAATAAATGACATGAACAACAAGTTAGAACAGTTAGACTGACAACAACAAAAATAAATTGAAACAGTCAGACTAAAATAAACCAACAATATAAAAAACACCAAATTAAAACTGACTAAATTAAACAGCAACAAATCAAAACAGTTAGGCTAAAATAAACAACAAACAACAACAAATTAAAACAGTCAGACTAAATTAGACAACAACATAAACAACAAATTAAAACATCAGTCTAAAATAAACAACAACAAATCAAAATAGTCAGACTAAAATAAACAAAAAATCAAAACAGTCAGACAGAAGTAAATAACAACAAATCAAAATAGTCAGACTAAAATAAACAAAAAATCAAAACAGTCTGACAGAAATAAACAACAACAAATCAAAACAGTCAGACTAAAATAAGCAAAAAATCAAAACAGTCAGACAGAAATAAACAACAACAAATCAAAACAGTCAGACTAAAATAAGCAAAAAATCAAAACAGTCAGACAGAAATAAACAACAACAAATAAAAACAGTCAGACTAAAATAAGCAAAAAATCAAAACAGTCAGACAGACATAAACAAGAACAACAAATTCAAACGGTCAGACTAAAATAATCAACATAAAAAGCAACAACAAATTCAAACGGTCAGACTAAAATAAACATCATAAAAAACAACAACAAATCAAAACATTCAGACAGACATAAACAGGAACAACAAATTTAAAATCAGAATTAAATAAAAAACAACATGGGGCGTTGAGTGGCGCAGTGGGTTGAGCAGGCGCCCCATATGTAGAGGCTACAGTCCTCGCTGCAGCAGGCCCCGGTTTGAATCCTGCATCGGACGGCCCTTTACTGCATGTCATTCCCCCTCTCTCTGCCTCCCCATTTCCTGTCTCTCTCTACTATCCTGTCCAATAAACGCACAAAAGCCCAAAAAAATATACTTTAAAAAAAATAAAAAACAACATAAAAAACTAATCAAAACAGCAAGACAGACATAAATAAGAACAAGAAATTAAAACCAGCAGGCTAAAATAAACAACAATATAAAAAACAACATTAAATCAAAACAGTCAGACAGACATAAACAACAAATCAAAACAGTCACACGAACATAAACAACAACAAATTAAAACAGTCAGGCTTAAATGAATAACAACATAAAAAAGAACTGCCATATTGACTGACACACTGTCTGTGTTTCCATGGAAACGCTTTTCACTGATCAGGAGAGGGAACGACGCTCACCTGGCATTAACTTCCAACATCTCCATTTCCCAGAAGGCATCAGTCCTCTGCAGATCTACTGCGAGGCAGAGGGAGTCACTGTAAGTAATGCCTGAATACAACTGTGTACACCTGTAAACACACAAATAAACGTGTAAACAACAGCGGCCAATACCACAAAGCCAGTTCACCTTAGTCTCACTCTGTTGGGGTAATGTCAGTAAGAGCAGGAATTATAAAGGTCTTTAGTGTAGAGTGGGTTTATCTGACTCTAAGCCCTACAAAGGTGAATGTCATTGACTGACAGACTGACTGATGAGGTTACACCACTGGTTGGCCAGCCGAGTGTTGAATTTTCCCATTGGTTATTACACTTTCAAAGCAATTTGGTGTGAACGAGCAGTCCTCGCACCTTTGTTGGTAGATTTACTGACTTTTCAGACCTTGATTAGAAGGTCATCAATGTCAGTCTCCCATGTCAATCCTTCAACATAAAAATATGTGAAACACTTGACTGTTATACTTTCTTTTTACTCTTCCTCCACATTTATGCTAATGATTTTATCACCCGTCCCTGATTCATTGTCTAATAAATGATGTGTGTAATAACTGAATTAACTACAGAACAACCTTTGCTAGATACAAGCTAGCCATATTTTCTAGTTGAGCTAGTAACCATTAATTGAAATCAGGTGTATGGTAACCACAGGTAAACCAAAAAGGTCAATAACTACCAATAATAAATTTTGAGGTAAATGTCGGATAACTGACATCTTGTTATGGTAGCTAGTGAAGTGTTGCTCATGCTAGTTAACTGCAATTAGAATCTAACCAGCTGTTATCTTACAGCAAACATTAACTAAAGCTGGCTACATAAACAACAACAATCAATTAGATTCATGAGACGTCAGCGAATGTATTAAAACATCAAACAATTCATCAACTTACCAGCGAGCATTGGGACACACTGAAAATGAATGGGCTTCATATCTGGAACCATCTAGACAACAACAGAAGTCTATGACAGGTTGTAATGGTGATCTACTGCAGTTACGATGGTGATCTACATCAAAAGTGAGCCAGCTTGTTGACACTGGAAAACTTGACTTAAGCCTAAAGAGAGCTAGATAACTCACTAATGTCACTTTGTGGTTCAGGCCCCTGACTTCACCTGAGTAACACCTGTAAACACACATGAATCAACCTGAGTACACCTGATTAATAATTTGTGTGGTTTATTTTGTTACTCAGGACATTGTGATCAGCGAGTTGATGAAGAAACTGGACATTCTGGGAGATAACGCCGTAAGTGTATGTTGCATTTATTTTGTACATGTATGTTTTTATTAGTTTCACATATATGTCAAACTGAATTTAGAACACCTTCACTGAATCATCTAGTTGTCATATGGCTGACATATAGTTATGACGTTATTTACATGTTGTTTGCATGTTTTCCTGTAGAATCTGTCCAATGAGGAGCAGGTGGTGGTAATCCATGCCAGGACGGTGCTCACGCTGGCAGAGAAGGTAACACACGAACCTTTGTGGATCGATGCAGAGCTTTGACCTTGTTTTTCATCCCCCTGCCGACCACCGTCCTTCTCTTCAGCCTGTTCTGGATCTCATTTAACTTTTGACCCTGTCTTGATATTTTAGCTGTCTCTTCTGGTCTTTGAGTCTGATAAGACTTAGAAGACTTAGAAGTCCTGTTGAATGTTTAAGTGTAAAGTCCATGTTTCCTCTTCAGTATAGAAACTGTGTGGGAGGAACTCTTTATGAACTTGCTGAAGATGGGACCTGAAGGACCTTGCCACCCTTGCTAACCCGCGCCTTCCTTTCCATTTACCTGTCTCTCTCTACCTATCTGTCTCTCTGCTCAGTGGTTGGAGTCCATCGAAGTGACAAAGTCGGCTCTGCAGCAGAAGATGTTGGACATTGAAAGTGAGAAGGTAAAAGCCAAAGTTTAGGATAGATCATTCTATTTTAACTTGTAACCAGGTGTGCCTTCCTGAATGACATTTCAGAAATGGGGGGGGGGGCAAAAATTGTTTTCTACTGATATAGAGTAACAAATTCATGACTTCATTTTTTGAGTTTACGGAGCTCGATGCATGGCCTTCCACTGAGCTCACACACCTCCAGCTCCTGCAGAGACCAGGACATGGGCACACAGGTGGATAGGGGAAGGCGCTCCTCTCTCCAGCTTCCCACCTGCACCTGCGAGGTGCCGCCGTCATGAATTTGACAAACAAGGCTGTGCTGCACAGGGCTGAGCAAAGGAGAACACTTGTGTATGAAGCAGTTTAAGCTAGCAGCTTGCAGACACAGGTGATTTATTAGGTGAGAGGGCTAAAGCATCAAGTCCTGTTTTAGTCATTTCAAACATTTTATTCTCATTTGGCCAAACCACATTAAAGCTATTGTTGATTTCATATCACACAGATTTCATCCAAAACTTTTTGAAATATGTGACTAAAATGATATTTACACAGATACAATTTCAGAATGAATAACTGGCATGTGGAGACATCAGTGGTGTTTTGCAGGGCTGCTCTGTAAATGCAACTAAACCTGAATCCTAAATATCCTTCATGTGCAACAAGACTTCTGCTGTCAAACAGTGTAGCAGCTATAGAATGGTTGCCCATAGACTGAAGAAAACCAGTCACACCAGGGATCAGGATTTGCACATTTATTCTAGCAGTCAACAGACACACAGTGGCAGGCTCTCTGACCCCAGCGCATAAGTTTCAAGCTTTTTTATTTTTATTTTTTTGTATGTACATTACAATTACACATGTGTAATAGAAATGAATAAAATGTGCACATCAAAAGAATGTTTGCCTTCACAGCAGTTAAAAGCAAAAATTAAAATGAGCAAAATAAATATTCTCATAAAATAACTAATTCAGTGCTATTCTACAGTAATACACAATAATAATAATACACAAGAACATTACAAATAACATTACAAATTGCATTTAAGTTTGAATATTCTTCCTTTTGTGTGTTTGCCTGCTTTATTTTACTGACTGTCTTAGAGTGGACGGACTGATACAGGAACATACTGATACAATTATCCCAACTGAGCCCAAAAATGGCCTTTCTATTTCCAACACCCTAGATCTGGACAATAACTTTGATAATCCCATGATCTAGAGTCCTTGATGAATCAGTAATTTGGGATTTTCAATCAGATTTTGTTTTGTTGCTGGTTTGATTACCAGTAGTAGTAGTAGTAGTATAAGTATGTGACACTAAATGTAACAGCAACAGAAGCCTCAGGTACCATAGTGACCTCTGTCTGTCTGTTGTTGTTCTCTAGGATCTGTTCAGTAAACAGAAAGGTTACCTGGATGAAGAGCTGGACTACAGGAAGCAGTCGATGGATCAGGCTCATAAGGTCAGTGTAACCAATGGACACAACAAAAACATTGAGCAATAGTAGCTAAACATTTTTACACAAGCACAAAACTGATTCACTCAAGACAAACAAAAGTATATGAAATTAGATGTTTTCTGAATATACTCAGGAGCGTCTAGTGCAACACTCAGCTGAATTCTGGGTGATATTAGTCACTACGTAAAATCAAGTAATTCTGTGCATGAAGTTACTGTTGTGACATGACTAAGACAAAATGAACCAATGACAGTTTGTATCATGAGATCACTTTCTCCTTGCTCAGCTTGACTCACTCATCAAAACAAATGACATACATGCAAGAAACTCATGAGCGAAACCTCGTAGTAGCCACAAGTTCATCTATAAGGTTATCCTTGTTTGTCAAATGTTACACTGCCACTATTTATGATCTGCATGCAAGACATGCCACCACTTTTGCAGTAGAGCACACTCTAATAATCACAGCTGTACAAGCAGCAGTGAGATCAGCTGACTGCACCTGGAGAACTGGTACTGTGAGCAAGGCGAAAACTACCAGAGCAGAGCAGTGTGGTGTTCACCTGTGTTAAATTTACCTCCATATGTTCCAGCCACACAGTGGCAGAATGTATCACTCTGAGAGTTTCACTGTTGGGGGTTTCATTGCTACAAGCCATCTGGTGCTTGTATAACCAATGGGAGAGTTGTGTTGTTATTTTCGGCAGAAAGTCAAACATGTTCCTGGTGGGTGTTGGCCTCTGCCAGGGTTGTCCCTTGTCACCAATCCTGTCTACGATCTTTTTGGGCAGGATTTCAAGGTGTAGCCAGGAGGAGGAGTGTGTTTGGTTTGAAAGAATTACATCCGTTCTATTTGCAGATGATGTGGTTCTGTTGGCGTCGCCAGACCGGGACCTTCAGCATGCACTGGGGTGGTTTGCATCAGAGTGTGCACCTCAAAGTGTGAGGACCTGATTCTCTGCCAGAAAATAGTGGATTGCTCTCTTCAGGTTGGAATGGACTTTCTGCCCCAAGTGAAGGTGTGGTGAGGGTAGGATAGAGTGGGAGGCAGGCAGATCAGTGCGGCGTCAGCAGTGAAGTGGATGTTGTACCCAACTGTTGTGGTGAAGAGGAGCTGAGTCTGAGGGTGAAGCTCTTGATTTACTAATCGATCTTCGTTCTGACCCTCACCTCTGATCATGAGCTCTGGGTAGTGACCGAAAGAATGAGATCACATTTACAAGACGCTGCTCCTTCACATCAAAAGGAGCCAGTTGAGGATGTTTGGGCTTGTGGTAAGGATCCTCCTGGGCGCCTTTCAGTGGAGGTCTTTCAGGCACATCCAACTGTTAAGAGGTTTGGGCTAGACCCCGAATATGATGGAGAGATTATATGTCTCATCTGGAGATGAGGAGCTGGAAAATGTTGCTGGTAATTTGCTTGACCTGCTGCCACCACGACCTGACCTTGGATGTGAAAGAAAATAGATATAGGGCAAAAAGATTAGCACGGGGCTAAATGATTTACCACAGGGTTAAAGTCCAGATATTGAGAGGTGACCCTTGATAAACAGGTATACAGAGTTTAAAACATATCTTCTTATTTTAAATGTCTATATCTGATGCAGAGGATCCTGGAGCTGGAGGCCATGTTATTTGAGGCTCTGCAGCAAGAGGAGGAAACCAGGATGGAGGGATTCAAGATTGAGGAGGGTCGTCTCTCTGAAACTCTGACTGAGGAAGAGAGGGAGGGGCTGAGGAGAGCCATGGACCAATGGAAACGAACTGTAATGTGCGAGCTGAGAGAGAGAGATGCCCAGATCCTGCGAGAGAGGATGGAGATACTGCAACTCACGCAACAGGTAAAGCTTGACCTGACAGGTAAACCAGTTACTGATGTTTAATCTTTCACTGACAGGATAGTATAGTTCATCTAGTTGTGTACTCAACATGACAAATGTGTGTTTGACAGAGGAACAAGGAGCTGGAGGAGTTTATAGAAGCCCAGAAACGACAGATTAAAGAGCTGGAGGAGAAGGTATGGGCGAAGAGAAACAGAATAAAGTCTTGTTTTGGATGAAATGTACAATATGTGCAATTAGTCCGGCATGCAACAGATCATGTTATCACCATGGACACACGTGTACACTGTAAAATCTGCTTCCTATGACTTTCTGCTGACTCTCCACTGTTTTCTGTTTCCTTTCAGTTTCTATTTCTGTTTCTTTTCTTCTCTTTGGCCTTCATCCTCTGGTCCTAACAGCAGCAGCTGGTGAGTCACAAAGCAAAAGTTTCCCCAGGGATATGGGGTTTCCCTCAGTTATACAGGGTTTACCTCAGGTATGCAGGGTTTACTTCAGGTATACAGGGTTTTTCTCAGTTATACATTGTTTACTTCAAGTATACAGGGTTTCCAGTGGGTTTACAGGGAATCCTAATCCTGTATTGTACTTATGGAGTTGTAATTGATTCTACAAATCAAAGTTTATAAAAGTCTATTGTATCATTAATGTCTTGAGACAGTCTGTGTATCTCATCACAGGAACACTGTTAACATGTCAGTCTGTGGTTCAGTTTCTGCAGGCCTCCAGAGTCCAGCAGCTGATCACTCAGCAGGGTCGTGTCAGGAGGATTCAGAAAGATTCAGGATTTGGAACCAGCAGCTGACTGAGGCACATTGGCTTCACTGCCACACTCACCAGCCTCTGGCTGCTGTCAGCCAATCAGAGCAGAGCTCAGCCGTCACCTCAGTCCACACCATCACACCCTCCCAGAATGCCACTGTGTTGCCTCAGAGACAGTGAGAGTGATAGTTTCAGTGGCGGCAGAAGAACATTGTGTTTCAGACGTGTGAAAACCTTCACTGGTAACAGGCTAACCAGCGCACCGGTAGCTATGGGTACCAGAAAGTTCTGGGTCACCAGATGTGCAGCTGATAAACACATTCTGGCTTCAGCAGGCCAGCTGGACCAAAGCGGTGCTGGACTTATTAAAATTAGCTAAATTAGCTGGACTTCTGTCAGACCTGGCTAAACTAGCTGCTCTCAGTGTTTGCTCAGCCACCTGATTATAAACATTGCTAGCTAAGTTGGCTGAATTCATACAGTTAACTCAGCTGGTTGACTTCAGTGTGAAGGTAGCTGTTTGGGTCAATTACAGTTCACTAATCGTCTGTGGGTGAATGAAACTGCAGTGACAGACACAGAGCTCCATGAACTACAGCAGAAGATCAGTAAAGTTGTTGCTAAGTTACCTTGAAGAGTTCACACAGTTGAATCACAGTAGAAACACAATTGAAAACATTAGAAACTGTTGTTCAGTGAAGCGTCTCGTCTGTCCTGATATGAGTTTTTTTGAAACTTTGTTCTGATTGGCTGTTCCACCTGCAGACTGGCGAGTAGTTTAACACTGTAGAGCCTCTCAGCTCCACTCATGGATCTAAGATTAAAGGTTCAGACCGTCTGGATCATCGCGGGACCAAAACCTGACAAAGGAAACATCAGACAGGAGTTCTGCTGGAGGTCAGAGAAGAAACAGACTAAACTGTTAAAGCAAAATTATGTTCTGACCGGAAGAAATGCAGCATGACGCTTGAAGTAAGTCAGAAGCAGGTTTTACAACTGGTCAGAAACCTTTAATACAACAATAAAACTGCTGCAGGTCACTCTGCAGAGTTTACACGTGATCAAAGGTCAGGTGATCCAGTCTGATTATACTCTGGTGAGATTTTACAGATCAACTGAGTTCAAACTGATGGAAGAAAGTACAACAGTGTTTCACAGACACAACTGAACAATAGAGGATAATTTCACAGGACTAAAAAAGAATTATATTACATTATATTATATTATATTATTATATTTTCCTAACCCTTATATTATGGATCTTTTTATTCTCCTACTGAGGATAATCAGTTGATTCTGAAATGTTCAAACAATTAAAGGAGATATTTGTAAGTTTTGGCTATTGCTACAAAACTAACATTAGCATTGGCAGCTGTTTACTTACCATCAAATTTCATTCCTTTACTCACCAACAGCTGTCTCCAGAGGTGGAAACAAACACCAATGTTAACTCTTGTCTATATCACGTCTTTTTCTTCTTCTGAAGTTAGCATGCTAGCCAGCTAGCTCTGGCCCGGCCAGACCGTCTCGTCACGATATGATACTGACTTACTGTAGTGTCCAGTCTGAAGACAAAGATGCTCAGAGGACGTATTATAACCTGTAAACACAATAATAACTGAAGTTATTGTGAGACTGGTAAGTAAACAGCTGTTCATATTATTGTTGTTTTATTTTCAGCTTTAGTTGAAACTTTAATTTCTTTTCATGGTTTGAGTTTCAATTTCCGTCTTGACATTGCCATATTTTCAATTCAGTATCAAATTCTGTTTTAATTTTAACTGATTTTCCTGTAGAAGAGTAAAAAGAACATAATTGATGAACCAATGTTTTCTGTGAATTATCATCTGTGTGTCCTGCAGTATCATCAGTGTTTAGCTGAAGCAACACAAACCTGCAGAATTAAAACCATGGATCCTGCTGTTGTACTTTTATTATTCCAGATGATATTTTTCTATCCCTGAGTCTGAACTCTTGAACATCTGAAGAGTCAGCAGTTTGGTATGATTACAGATTAAAGATGGTAGAAACAAGACTGAAGACAAAACTGTGTTTGTATTTTGTTGTTGAAGATGAGAATGTCCCATCAGATCAGAGTTTTTTGACTGTTGTCATGAAATCTGGTTCAGTCTGACTCCAGGCTTCAAGTGATGCTTTGCCATCTGCTGGATCTGGTCTGTGTGCCAAAACTGAAGAACCATAAGCTGCAGTTCCACTAATGACCACTAGAGTCTGGCTCCAATAGTGAGTCAATCCCCATAGACTCCCATGTTAAAATGTCCAACTTTACAGCAGAAATAAACATGTTTACAGCCTGGTACAAAAACTATTTTGGTCTCTAGAGCTAATTTCCTCCTTCATGACACCTGTTTATATAACTCACCTTAGGGGCGTGGTCTCTTTCAGTGACAGGTGGGTAAGCATATGCTTGTCACAAACCGACATACACCACAGTCTCAGCTCCACACATGCCCTTCTTTACCTGGGAGTTAGGGGCGGAGTCAGACACTGCTAAGATGGCGACGGTGGAACACACACACACACATACATACATAAAATTCATACCCATCTGTTAACACAACCTGACTGAAGTGGTTCATGTAATGTTTATCTAATGATAATATTAACTGTCATGTTATGGAATGATGTATTTATTTTCATTAAGGCAGGTCCAGTATGTATGAAGAAGAAGATCCAAGTCAAGTCATCCCGTAGCACTCTGTAGGTGCTTGTGCGCAGGAATACAGGAGTTAAGCAGTTGAAAAAATGTAGTGCCAAAGGAAAATGCTGTTTTCACAGGAAGATAAAGAGCTGAAAATATTCTACATGAAGCTACGTTTAAACAGATGTTGGATTGTTTCAGTGTTTTAGTGTCTAAAACACGTTTTTTCTTGTGGCGTTGCCCACAGCAACACATCACTCTGACGCTCTGCCAATGCCCCGGTCAGCTTTCCTAACTGAGACCACGCACATCATAATCTACTGTATTGTACTGAGTATATATGACAATCTCACACAACCTCACGTCATAAAACCCGAACTGTCCCTTTAACATCACTGACTCGTTTTAAGAGTCAGTTACACTGATTAGAAAACAGCATTTTTATATTAAACCTGTCTATTCTGACTTAAACGTGCAGTCCACCATACTGATCTAGTCTGTTCATGAGTCCACTACACACATTATGGATGGAGCATGGAGTCCTGCCATGGAAACCACAGAAGCTGCTGCATCATTGAGCTGAAGCTTGACTGAAGCTGTTTGGTTGAACTGTAGAAGAACATCAGCTCCGTGTATGGAGTAAACCTCCTCCCACAGGTGGAGCAGGATCTGGGTCTCTGCCGCCTCTGGACTTGGACCAGGTTTCTTCAGGATCATGTCAGGGTGTCTGTCCACCTGCTGAAGCTCAGGAGAAGACAATGACCCTAAACCTCAATGGAAATCCACCTTCTGGAGTGGTCCAGTCAGACCCAGACCTGAACCCAGTAGAGCTGCTGTTAGCTCAGAGAGAGAACCTGTCTGACTGAAGCAGTTCTATAAGAAGAACGGTCCAGACCTCATCCTGAACACTGAGCAGGCCTGATCAGCAGCTAATGAAGACCTGGTTTCAGGTCCAACCAGGTTTTAAATCAAGGTTCACTTTCTGTTTCCACCAGAGGTGAAAGGTTCAGTAAAGACCCAGAGATTAGAGCTGTCTGACATCAGAGACACTGAGTCTGTCCTGATGAAGACCAGATCAGATTTAGGACCACTTAAAACCAGATCACAGACACTAAGTCTGATACTAGTTTAAACACATCGAGTTTCTCTAAGATTTTATTCTTACTGTCGGAGACAAACGAGATCTTCATGTTAACATAGAGAATTTGTTCTGGTTCACTGAGTGTGTGTGTGTGTGTGTGTGTGTGTGTGTGTGGGTGTGTGTGTGTGTGTGTGTGTGTGTGTGTGTGTGTGTGTCAGTAGATGAAGTGAATCTGTCAGGCAGATAAATCCAGTTAAGACTGAAGCGACTTCGGAGTTTCATATCAGTAATGAGCACTGACCTGTTTGTGTGTGTGTGTGTGTGTGTGTGTGTGTGTGTGTGTGTGTGTGTGTGTGTGTGTGTGTGTGTGTGTGTGTGTTACAGTGTGTGTTACCAGGACTCCTGCTGTGCATCGTTTTGTGTTCATTGAAGCTGAAACATTGGGGCCACTCACTGTGATGTCATGACGATGACATTACCAGGTCAATAACAAACCAATAACATCTAAAATCAATCAATAATTTCACAGACTGTGAGGATTGATCTTTAACCTGAGGATGTGTAAACAGGAGAACCTGATGCAGAACAGGTCTGAACAGGATCATCAACCACAGGGTCTGAGGTCTGAGTGGTGGGACGGGCTTGGACCAGGACTGGATGGAGGTGTAGGTGAGTCAGGTGGGGTCTGGCTCTCAGTGAGAAAGAGGACCAGGACGGAGCCTTGTGGTCCAGTTGTCACCTGGTAGGAGCAGGACCTGGTCCAAGTGAGACCTAATGAGACCTCTCCAGACTCTCAGACCACAGTCTGTCTTTCTCCCTCTGATTGTTTGCTCTCAGTTTGAGGTCTCAGCTCCGCCCTCTTCCATGACCTCCTTTTCCTCTCCTCCTCCCTCTTGTCTCCTCATTTATCGCCTGAGGAGATAACACACACACACACACACACACACACACACTCCTTGTCTCCTCTTCCCCTCGTCTCAGATCAGATCAGTCCATGATGTCTGAGAGGAGGTGCTCTCAGGAGGACGACTGCTCCTCTCTTCTGTCCCGGCTCGGTTCGGACTCTCCGCGTCCTCGGATGAAGTATGGAGGGATGTTCTGCAGCGTCGAAGGAGCATTCGAGAACAAAACGCTCAACTTTGAATCATTCAGTCCGCAGACAGAGCGACGCCGGGCTGCTCGGACCCAAGCTGACGGCCATGACAGAGGAGGACAGACTGTGGTGGTTCCCTCTGGACACGCCCGGGAAAACTACAGAAAGAGAGAGGTTCAAATTTAAAAACTTATTTATTCTAATCTTTTTCTAAGTTTTATGTAAAGAGAGTTTAGGAAGTGTTTATTTCACTTCATTGTTCCCTCATCAGTCCACACTCTGTACCAACTGTGCTAACAGCTAACTGTTAGCAGCTAACAATTAGCTAACCACTGAGCCAAATAATACAGTGTCAACATGGGATCAGAACTACAAAACTACAATACTACTAAATACACAAGTTCAGGTGTGGAACATCAAGCAAGTGTGTTGGAGCGGGTACCAGAGTCTGATGAGTCAGATGAGTCAGAGTCTGATGGGTCTGATGGGTCTGATGAATCTGATGAGTCAGAGTCTGATGAGACAGATGAGTCAGAGTCTGATGAATCTGATGAATCTGATGAATCTGATGAGTCAGAGTCTGATGGTTCTGATGAATCTGACGAGTCTTATGAGTCAGCTGCACTCTGTAAGTATAATGTGTGTTGGAGCTGATGCCAGTCCAGGTGCATGACTCAATCTTACCTCAGTGCAGATGTTGATCCAGCTGTTTCAGTTTAGATCCAGGTTAAATTTCATCTCATGTTCCTCTAATGTTGAACAACATCACACTAGAACATAACAACACCAGAGTGAAGACTGAATGTAAACACTGAACATACAGAAAATAATTGCACAGCTGAGTAATCATCAATCATCTCAGTCAGTGAACTGATCACTAAGTGAGATGATGGATGGTTACTGTGAAACATTTAACCTCAAATTATGATGCATCATTAAAAATTAATTAAACCCATCAATAATTAGAATCTTTATTCTACTGTGGTTATACTCAGTGATATTTTCACTGCAGTGAAATGTCTGAGTCCTTCCACCACTGTGTGTAACATCAGAACACACTATCAGACTAATAATCTATCAATAATCAGGCAATCAGTTAAAATCAATCAGTACTCGTTCTCCACCACCCCCCATCACCCGGCCACTCTCAGAGGGAGAGTCTGCCTCCTCTGCAGCAGGTGAAGTCAATGACAACCATTCATTGTGTAGTGCATAAAGCACATTCGGAGATCTCATTTCAAAATAAAAGTGCGTGTAGGATTTAACTGCAGCTGCAGAATTTACAATGAATGTAAGGCTCATGATTCATTTTACACTTTAACTTATCATCAGCTGATGGTTATAACACAGAAACGTACCACATACATATATATATATACATATATATATATATATATACTCATCATACTCATACTCATCTCTGCAATGACCATATAAGGCTGTTCCACTCATATATATATATATATATATATACCTAACCCTTATATGGTCATTGCAGAGATGAGTGTGTTATCTCACGAACACACTAATCCTCCTCCTGAACAGGGTCTTCATCAGTCTGAACGGGTTCTGAACAGAATACCAAATTCTTCTTGCATCAGGGTTAGGGTTAGTTATGGTCGTCCATTTTATTTTGAAGCTCCAAACCGGAAGTCCAGTGTGTGCGTATTGTCGGGAATGTGACGTCAGAGTTGACGGAAACAACAATAGCAGACTGTGTGTGCATGTGTGTGTGTGCGCGAGCTGATCAGCCGATCACAGATCGATCAGGATGTCCTTCCAAAACAAGAAGAGCAGCGCGAGACCCGCGGTAGGTCCGAGCCGGGCCGAGCCGAACCGAGCCAAGCCGGAATAACCCGTATAACCGGGCAGGTGCGCCATGATGCTGCAGCTCCGCTTGTCAATCACCGGGCCGTTAGGACCAGACCGAGACTGACTGAGCCCAGCGGGTTTACAGCAGCTGGCAGGCCCGGTCCGGTCCGCTCGGTTCGGTTCGGTTCTAAAGCTTCAAACAGAAAACCTGATTTTCATATTCAATACATGGTGCGTTCAGTTAATGTGGGACATTTCATCTTTGTCTGGTTACACCTTTTGATTGAGGCTAAAAATGAGAACCTTGTAAAGGTTCCTTTAAAAGAAGTGGGTCACACGTCAATGACAGAGCTGAAACGTCCCTGATACAGTAGACTTTCTAGACCCTCATCAGTCCTGCACCAGGACTTTTTAAACCCTCACCAAGTCTGGATGAACCCTCACTGCAGTTTGTTGTCAGCAGTTCTATGTGTTTAATTTTCACTTGTTGACCTCCTATTTTACCCAGCATCCTTTGTGTTAGCAGAGTGACCGTCTGATCATCAAAGGAGGAAAGATTGTCAACGACGACCAGTCATTCTACGCTGATGTCTATGTAGAGGACGGGACCATCAAGTAATTACTTTCATATCAATAACATGATCCTGATGTCAGCTGTTGACACCTGACCCCCTGACCTCCAGGTGTGTCATACCTGTTATTGTCTCTAACATCACTTCATGTGTCCTGATCAGGCAGATTGGTGAGAACCTGATCATCCCGTCCGGCGTGAGGACAGTGGATGCATACGGTCAGCTGGTCATCCCCGGAGGCATCGACGCCAACACCAACCTGCTCGCTCCACAGAAAGGCCTGAACCCGGCCGACGACTTTTACCAGGGAACCCGAGCTGCCCTGTTTGGAGGAACCACCACCATCAGTCAGTGATTACTGATAACCTATCGATACTGATCGATCAAGCTCCAGTCAAAGAACATGAGTAACACTGATGTTTGTGTTTACAGTGGACCACGTGCTGGTGGAGCCGGGGGCTAGTTTACTGTCAGCATTTGATCAGTGGAGGGAGACGGCGGAGCAGAGGGCATGCTGTGACTTCTCTCTTCACCTGGACGTCACTCGCTGGCACGACGGACTGTACGAGGAGCTCGAGACACTCATCAAAGATAAAGGTCAGACCAGCTCCCTGCTCCTCAGAGAACAAACTGCTGCTGCTCAAACTTCCTGTTGTGGCCTCCTGTGACCCCTGCGACGTCCTCTGACCTCCTGACTCCGCTCATCAAACTGAATTTAAAATTATCAAGATGAGAGCAAAGACTGTGAGACTAGAACAGACCAACTGATCCGGACTCTATCTTCGATGATGAGTATAATTTGAATATGATGACTGATGGGACCCAAGGTGGACTGTTTCTGTTCTAGTCTGGGTCAGGTGGGTCTGTTCCAGCTCCCAGTCCCCTAGGCTCTACAGTCTTACACACCTCTCCATCCAGGGTCTCAAAAGCTTTTCCCTCCTTTTCTTTTTCAGCTCAAACATCTCAGCTGCTGCTGTTGGCCATGTTTGTTTTGGTACAAGATCATGTGACAGTCTGCAGTAGTTACTGAGCAGTGGTTCAGGTCTAAGGTTTCTGCTCCTTCAAGATGGTCAGAGACTAAAACAGCTCTGTGTACTGCTGAGTATTACATGCAGTACTGTGAGTACTGTTGAGTGTTACCTGCAGTATTTGTGTTCCAGGTGTGAACTCCTTCCTCTTCTTCATGGCATACAAAGATAAATTCCAGAGCTCCGACTCTCAGGTGAACCACACTTTCTTTATTATTACTGTTTGTTGTTTCTCTTCCTGTAACTGAATTCTTGCTTCCGTGATTTCAGCTGTACGAGGCGTTCGGGGTCCTGCGGGATCTTGGAGCCATCGCCCAGGTCCATGCTGAAAATGGTGACATCATCGATGAGGTAATACATCCTGCCCAATTGGACAGGTGCTCTCGCTTTTTTCATTGAGTCAAACAGAGAAACTGATCATTTCTGTTTCACACTGTTTTTACAGTGAGAACTAGTGTAAACTGGTTTAAACTGGATTAAATGGTGTAATCTGGTTTAAACTAGTGAATTGGTTTGAACCTGTGTGAACTGGTGTAATCTGGTTTAAACTTGTGAAATGGGTTCAAATGGTGTGAACTGGTTTAAACTGGATTAAATGGTGTAATCTGGTTTAAACTAGTGAACTGGGTTCAAATGGTGTGAACTGGTTTAAACTGGTGTAATCTGGTGAAAACTGTTGTGCTTCAGGAAGAGAAGAAGCTTCTCTCTCTCGGCATCTCAGGACCTGAAGGACACAGTTTATCTCACCCTGAGGAGGTAAGCACTGTGAGACACACCTGAGACACACCTATAACACACCTGTAATACACCTGTAATATACCTATAACACACCTATAAAATACCTGTAATACACTTGTACAAAAAAAAATTGTATAAACATCCACAAGGTGTGAGAGGTGTGTATCATTGATGGTTTGTGTGTTATGACGTTTTTACAGGTGGAGACAGAGGCGGTGTATCGCGCCGTCACCATTGCCAAACAGGCCAACTGCCCACTGTATGTTACCAAGGTCATGAGCAAATCTGCTGCTGATGTCATCGCCAAATCCAGGAAGAAAGGTGACATCATCATCAATATCATCATCATCTGTTCCTCATCACACCTTTTAATCCAGATTAGGTCCAGATTTAATTTAGATTTCAACTAGTAATTTTCTCCCTTTTAAAAAATGTGAACATCCAACCTGGTCTGTCAGTCCTCGGGTAACTGTCCCCTATCTCTAGAAGTCCAGAGCTTTCAGTATTTCAGGTGGAATCTCATCCACACCTGGTGACACCTGCAGAACCTTTTAACTCTCTCAGAGACCAATGACAGAGAAAAGTCCCCCCCAGCTCTTCCAGCTCTCAACCAGCTTGAAAGAAATTCCTTCTTCAGTTTAACAGCTGATGTTCAGCAGTGGGTTCTTTGATTGCTGCCATGTCAGGTACCAATGACCTCTGTCTACAAGTCTGGGCAGTACCCTCAAGACATGGACCACTCTGACTCAGTATCCTCAGCCTCTCCTGGGGTGCAAGAAAAATTCCTCCAGAGGTGAAAGTCATCAACCTGATGTTCCCAGTTCACCGTCTCTACCTGTTTGGGTGTACCAGGTCTGTCCTCTCCCACCACCTGATCCGCCTCACCACCAAATTGTGATCAGCTGACAGTGTCCAAAACATATGGCTGCAGATCTAATGAAATGACCACAAAGATGTTCATTGATCATTGACCTCAATTGTGCTGGCACCAAGTATGGAGGTCTGTCTGGTGTTGCCCACAAGTGTTGAGGTACCCCAGTAGATCTATGGAGCACTAGCTTGGCTACTCCCAGACTGTACCCTCTACAGGACTCCACCTAGAGACTCTAAAAAAGTTGTTCAGTTCATGAACACAGACAACAGTGAGAACTTTAGGCAACACTCCAACACAGCAGGACCTGAAGACGGTCCAGCCCCTGCGCAGGAGATTGAGTCCACACCTGGTGCTGTGAGTAAAAGATGACCTCAACTATATATATTTGGTAACCTTCCACCCCCTGAACGAACTCTGGTTCCCTCCCCACTTGGAAGTTGATGATCCTAGAGGTCAACAGACCTATGTCCCCTTTTTTGCCTGCTGGCTGGCTGACAACACACCCCAATGCTCTTAGATGCTGTGTCCGAAATGGGACAAAACTTGGCCATCAGACCCTCACTGGCGAGAATGAGAGGGGGTCTCATTTGAGGTCTTTAACTCACCTGGGACCAATTTGCCTTGGGAGACTCCAACAGGGACCCCCAACAAGACAGCTCCCAGTTTCATGGGGTGTACATGAATTCCTTTAAATTAAGATGAAGATTCCTAGAGAGATACTCAGGCAGATGTTGTGGCTTCAACTTCTTCTTGTTTGTGTCCTCAGGTATGGTTGTGTATGGGGAACCAATCACAGCCAGCTTGGCCACTGACGGCTCTCAGTATTGGTCCAAAGACTGGGCCACTGCTGCTGCCTACGTCATGAGCCCACCCCTCAACCCTGACCCTTCAACTCCACAGTATCTGACATCTCTGTTAGCATGGTTAGTATGACTTCACCTTTGTTACCATGGTTAGCCGTATTGTAGCCTAACCTTCCTCCTCAACAATCCAGGTGTACCAGGTGAACCTGACAGGTGCTTGTTGTGTTTATTTCCAGCGGAGACCTGCAGGTGACATCCAGCGCTCATGCCAGCTTCTCCACAGCTCAGAAAGCCGTCGGTAAAGATGACTTCACTTTGATCCCAGAGGGAACCAATGGGGTCGAGGAGAGAATGTCGGTGGTGTGGGACAGAGCAGTGGTAAGATTACCGTTTGACCCTTAACCCTGAGCTGACCACACACAGAGTGTGTCTCAGGTGTCAGGAAGCTTCCTCCCTCTTCAGGTCCTGATCACTTCACGTTATTGTTTTAATGAATGAAGATGTTTCAAACTTTCCAATCACTGGATGTAATTCCACTCAGTAACATTGACACATCAAACAGGTTGGTATGACATCAGCAGCCTGCAGTGGTTCTATCACTTCTTAATGTCCATGCAAGGTTTCAGGAGGAAAATGCTTTTGTCTAATCCTCTAGCTATATCCACTGCCTCCCTGTTCTCTCAACTCTGAGGCCTTGTGTGTCTGTATAGTATCAGCATCATGAATCATACAAATGTGGAACACATTTACACATTTTCCAACAGTCTCTCCTTGAAGACATTCATGGTATTTTGTCATACTGTCTCTCTACAGTCTACGGGGAAGATGGATGAGAATGAGTTTGTCGCAGTAACAAGCACCAATGCTGCTAAAGTCTTCAACATTTACCCACGAAAAGGTATCACATCCGTGAGACGAGTTACACTGTAGAGAGGATAAGGACACTGTTGGTGCTGGAATCCTTTATTTTACTGTCACTAAACTATAGAAGACGACAGGTTTACAGATGAGAGCTGTGATGTCAATCCATTTTATTCTGGATGTTCAATGAAACCATAACTTCAATGTAAAAATGTACAACTGAAGATGAAGGTATACTCATCCAGAAAAAGCCACCTCAGGAAATTCACTGCCTGAAGCAGTGATGTTAGTGGTTGTTAAAGCAATATTAAAACAGTATTTAGATGTCTGACGTAATCCAAAGAAAACTGATCTCTGTCCTCTGTTCAGGACGCATCGCTGTAGGATCTGATGCTGATATTGTTGTCTGGAACCCAAAGGAGACACGAACTGTTTCTGCAAAGACTCACAACCTGGTAACAACATGTCCGCCGCACCAATCAGTGTCATTGATTATCTAAAATAGTCATCATAAACTGATCCTCCTCCCCCTCACCATGCTGCCTGTGTGTGTGTGTGTGTGTGTGTGTGTGTGTGTGTGTGTGTGTGTGTGTGTGTGTGTGTGTGTGTGTGTGTGTGTGTGTGTGTGTGTGCAGACGGTGGAGGTGAACATCCTGGAGGGTATGGAGTTTCGAGGCACGGCATCGGTGGTGATCAGTGGAGGTCGAGTTGTTGTGGAGGACGGAAAACTCAACACAACTGAAGGTTCGGGACGCTTCATTCCCAGGAAGGCTTTCCCTGACACCGTCTACAAGAGGATCAGAGCCCGCAGCAAGGTAAACTACTGCTACTGGTTAATAAGGTAACCACCTGAACCCTGATAGAGGATCAGAGCCTGCAGCAAGGTAACCAACCAGCTGGATGACTTATTAGCAACCAACTGGTTAAGCAGTTAACCAGCTGGTCAGGTCGTTATTCACTTTTTCTCTGATGTTTGTCATCGACTTAGATGGCAGAGGCTCGCGGTGTCCCCCGTGGAAACTATGATGGTCCGGTCCATGATGTCATCAGCATGACTAAATCGGTCCCGCCTACTCCGACCAGCAGAGGCCCCTCATGTCCAAAAACCCAGACCGGCCCCCGAAACCTCCACCAGTCAGGATTCACACTGGCAGGTAGGTTATATCTCCAGTATCTTAATCAATTATCTGATCAACTAAAACTGACAGACACTGAGGTGCATTTTGGGTGAACATTTTGTAGTTGAAAGTACATACAGTTTATAAATGCTGCAGCTGAGTACTACGGGCAAATAATATGATAAAGAAGAAGATGGGATGATTACAAATGAACTATTAAATCAATCATCACTACTTCCTCTTCCAGGAGCTCAGATTGACGACCACATACCTCGTCGCTCTGCTCAGAGGATTGTGGCTCCTCCAGGTGGACGATCCAACATCACATCTTTATCTTAAAACAAGAAGAATCACACTGACACTTCGAGTGTCACTTTTACAACAAGACACAACCAACCTTACTGCAACCTTACAAATCCTACAACTGTATAACTAGTACTAGGCACTATAACAGTAGTATTTCACTAATACAGAACCCTACCATATGCTCACAAAAGTGTAGTACTTTAATAAGTACTTCATTCTCCAACTGAAGTACTTCAACTAGTACTAAACCCAAAACCCAATTATAGCCCCAAAGATAATATTTAACTCTAAAACCTTACAAACCCTATTACTGCACAACTAGTACTAAATCCTGAACAGCCACACAAATAGTAAAAATCCATACAACTACTACTAAATCCTGCACCTACTGTACTTCAGCTTAGGTAGTACTGAATGTTACAGCAATGGTACAACAACCGAACAACTACTACTAAACTAAACTAGGACATAATGCTACAACAACTGAGATCTAGTACTAGACCCTGCAACAATAATACAACTAGTATTAAACCTTACAACGACCTTACAGCTAGTACAAAGCCCCACATCTACTAAAACGTACACCTACTGTACATCAGTGGTTATAGTACTCAGTTTTTCAACGATAGTAGTACAACCCAACAAGTACTGCACCCAACAACTAGTTCTTAACACTACAAGTTATACTTCAAATAGGACTTCATGTTAAAATGATTCATTTGAAGTACTCTAATCCTACTCATGAGTACTCAACAACATCTCATCTCATCCTTCCTGAGGCTCCTCCCTCCATCATGTTCTGTCTGCTGGTAAAAGCAGTAGTAGTAGTAGTAGTAGTTGTAGTAGTAGAGCATAGCCCCTGACCATACTTTCTGTTTCCTGTTTCCTCTTGGCCTCCCATTCTTTCCATAAACTAATTCTGCTCATTGTACATTAAATCCATATTGTCCTGAAACCACTGTAGTCATTACTGTAAGGTCAGTATTAATGTTTCATGTCTCCATCGTATTTAAACTCTTCAAGTAGAATTTACCCAGGTCCATATCTGTCTTATATCTGTTAGTATCAATCTGACCCACTTTCAGTCTTACTCTGCTTCACTATGAGACCATTATCTGTTCATCAGTCTGTGGTGGTAATGTGTTCAGTCCTGTGAGTGTTTCTGTAGGTCAGATTTAGTCTGGAGTGAGCTGGACTGCAGGTTAAGTGTCCTGTCAGGATTAACTTTTTTTTAATGTACAGATCCAGTTTTAATTATTAACTTATTAATTAATTAAGCAACTTTAGTCTCAGAATCAGAGCTGGACTCTCAGACTACCACCGCCAGACTTTCTGTCAACTTCAAAACATCATCTGACTTTAAATGGTGCTAATAAATCCAGTGGTAGCCTGCGAGTTGCAATCCCTTCAAAACCACGCCAACTACAGGATGTAGATGAACTGAGTCCTCCCCCAGAAAGCTCTAAAACAGCCCCCCACCCCCTTACTCATTTGCTTCATTCCCCAAACCTCTTAAGGGATTTTTAACAGTGTGTTTGATTAGTTGAACACTTCGTTTGATACCATGATCATTTTGTATTTTTTTACAGTGTTTGTATCCTGCAGTGTTAGCATCAGTGGCCGTTGTACTCTCACACAGTTCAGACATCATACAGCCCATGGCCGCCATGTTGTTCTCAAGCTGTAGCAACATGTTGTTATGACCAGTTACTGTTGCTTTGCTGACAACATGTCGCTATGATTATGCTGGATTACAGATGCAGCTCCAACATGGTGGTGGTGTTCCTGCTGGTTGATCTGTTTCTGTAGCAGCAAGGCTGGGTATCGAACCTCCGTACTTTAATGAACTGACCGAAGGAGAATCGAAGAATTCCTCGTCATTAGAAACCAGTTCATCCGTTTGTTCATTCTTCAAATGGATTTGATAAAATTGGTATCAAGAAAAGTATCGTTAACAATTACTATCAGTACCGATATCTTATTGGTGTCAGTACTGATATCTAAAGGTTTTGATCGATACCCAGCTCTATGTAGCAGTCAGATGATTTTCTGTCCTTACAGATGCACTGGAGCCAACATGGAGGACAGGAACTCTTTGTATACATAGTAATAATGTGCAGACATGCACAAGTGTGTATATGAAGAGGGGTTAACATGGTGACAGTGCATATGTTGTTGTTGTTCCTGTAGTAAATGTAGAACTACTTCCAGTTGTGATGAGAGCTGCATGAATAAACTGTGAAGGGAAAAACATGATAGAGTGAGATGTCTGTTCTTCATCAAGCAGCCTGTCCTCACAGTCCTGATCCAGGTGAACCCTTTAACAGGAAGATCATACTGAGGCTTGGGAAGGGGCGTCTGACATAACACTGTGTTGTGTGGAAAAAAAAAAAACTAATCTGGTTCAACTTTTTCTGCAACACATCGTGATGTCATCGTGCAAAGCTCTGTGACGGCCAATCATGTAAGTGAACGATCAGACAGAAAAGGCCCACAGGAACAGGAATCCTGTTTATATGGAGTTCAATACAAACTGTGGCATGGAGGCTAAACTCATCAGCACCTTAATATGAACCTCCTGCTGCGTCTTCATGTATCTCCATAGACACTGACAAGTACAGCAACATACTGTGTACTACACAGAGACACAGCTTAAGTCTGGGCCAGAGTTCACACAGGAGGAAACCTGAACACACATCATGCTAACTTATAGGGATCTAGATTATGACCTAATCACCACACATTGCTCATGTATTTAGTTCAATGGAAACAGCTTCAGTCTCTCACGTTCAAATAAACACCGTCCACATGGAGCACCGTTAATTAAAAACCACACGACGAACCTGCGCCAATGATGTCATCAGAAGGAAGAGCGCATGAGCTCACGTCGTCACAGAAGCAGGACAAATGAATGGGTGTGTTTGACTTTATGTGGTGCTGCACAGCGCTGAGTTGATGTAATGCATTTGTAGCCGGTCTGTCCTGACACTGGCTAAAAATCTCTCTGCGTTGTGTTGTGAACAAAGGAGACGAGGACAACTGTTGTCTTGCCAGCCAGAAGGGGGGTGGGGGTGGGGGGTTATTCTGTGTATATAACATTTATGTTAGTACAGCCACTTCTTAGTCTCTCACAAACACCTCTCCTCAGCAAGCCCGGTGACCGACTGACGTGTGTAATCTCATTAACCAAAATCACTCAATAAATCATATACCTCTCATTGTGATCATATAGTTACAAGATCATGTTTCTTAAGTTATTTCCCCCCACCCATTAGTGACAATTTTTTAAATATTTTATAAATATGAACATACACAATATGTATAAAAATATCAAAACAAATAGTACAAAAATAAACAATATAATTACACAAAAATAAAAATAGGGAGCTCACATACCTGTGTATATAACATTTATGTTAGTACAGCCATTTCTTACAGTCTCTCACACACACCTTTAAGGGAGAGGGGAAAACAGCAGACCGTATGAGAGACATTCCCCGCGAATTTAGCTTAGCATAAAATCGCAACTCGCTTGCTGCGCTGAAGTGCTGTACATAACCACATAAATACATACAGACACCAACATACATGTCGCTAAAAAAAAGACAACATGAGGGCCTTGTTCAAAACAATATTCATGCCTCTGTGTTTAGTGGTTTTAGCACCTTTTAGCATCTTATTTACAGAAGCACCTCTGTCATCTTACCTCTCCTATGCAAGCCCAGTGACCAACTGAGGTGCGAAGCGACAGGAAGTGGCATCACGCATAGGTCAAAGGTCACACAGTGAAAGCAAAATTAACAAAATAAAAGCTCCCCATATAAACAATATACAAAAACAAATATATGAATTAAAATCAACAACAAAATGTGAACAAAAGAGGAAAATGGATTTATGGTGAAATTAAAAAAAAACTATTTAATTAATACATCAGTTACATCCTCCCCTCCTAGATTTCACCAAAATCCTCTGAATAAACCAATGAACCAAAACACTGGAACAACCGACCCATGATGTGAAAGTCTCACTGAAAGTCTCTAACTTTACGATCAGCTGTATAAGCCACCTACTGTTATAGGTTCAGAGAAAACTTAAGGGTGATCAAGTCCTAGTCCCTCTTAGATCAATATGATGCCTTTTACACCATACAACTACCTGCCTCAATTAAGTGAGCAGTGCAGTGAGCAGAGTTGATAGAGTAGCGCGAGTATCCTAATAACTCAACCATATATTTTGGGAAATGGCCGAGGCACGGACACAGCCAAAGAAAAGACGTTCGGATGAATATATGGCGAGGAGGAGAGAAATGGAGAAGGAACGAACGAAGACCCGCATTTATATTGGGGAATCGCTTCAAAGGTGGCGAGAACGTCAACAGAAGTGACGTCATGCAGGAATGCATAGTGCACCTTTAAAACCTTGGGGGAGCAAGGCGCCTTCAGTTTTTCCGAGTCAGGCAGCTCCGCCCCTGAAGTCACCAGCAGCCCACGTTGACCGTCAAGTCAGCCGAAGTAAAAATCGAACGCACTTAATGAAGCAGCTGATTAGCATAGAGTCGGAGCTGCAGCGTCACTTACCTGCCGGCAGTTTTCACCTGTGTCGTTTCTGTTAAATGAAACGAACGTTGCCGTTACGTTCACCCGTCAGAGGACACGTGACTGTCTGTACGCAGTCAGGTTCGTTTGTTGGACCCAGTCACGGTATGAACACTGATGAAAACCTGCTCTCAGGTCTGTGGAACTTCTTCTAAACCACGTGTCGGACCGGGTCCTGATGAACAGGTAGACTCTGTGTTTACAGGTGTTAACACCTTTACTGAGTGAAAGACAAAGAATGAAAGGAAGATCAGTTCAAATGAAACTAAATGAAGATGATTAAAGTTATAATAATATGGATGTGATGATGTGTTCACTGGACTCAGACTCAGCAGAGATGGGGGAGTCTCGGATCATCGTGGAGGAGCTGCTGGCTCTTTGTCTTCAGAGGATCAACATGGAGGACAACACTCTGAACACTGAACTGGGTCAGTCCACTTCATTAAGTCACAACCTGGTCTCTGGACTGAGGCACTGAACCAGGAGCAATTTGCAGGAGACCAGTTGAACTTAGGCTCATTTCAGTAAAGTCAGTTTCTTTTTTTCTTTTTTCTTTTTTTTTTGTAATTTCTTTTTTATTGACATTCAACATAAATCATATTTCCATACAATGTGTTTCACATTTTAAATTGAATGTATATGACATAAATAAAAGGGCATTCAAACAATTTTAAAAACATGAAAAGGTATAAAAAGAATATAAGGAATAAAAAAAATAATAATCAAATAAAATTATAGTATAGTTAATTAAAAGCAAGATCATAAAAATATGTTTTCAGCTGTTTCTTAAAACTATCAACAGAAGTTAAATGTCCATTGAAATCCCTCTTCAATAATCATTTTCTGGTGAGATTCTTTTTACCAGCCACCAGCAGGATATTGATTAAATACTTATCTCTTTTTGACCAGTCGTGAGGTATGTGCCCAAAGTATATAGTTTTAATGTCCAGAGGGATTACACATTTTAAAAAGTCTCCTGTCCTCTTTGATGACAGGGCTGTCCCATGTCGCATTTTGACTTCCACAGTTTCTCCAGCAAAAACAGGAAGACTATTATCATAATGGGATTTTTGGGAGGGTGTGATAAAGTACCTGATCAGGTTCTTCCAACCAAACTCCCTCCATTTCTGTGAGCTGGTACACTTTCATTGATACTTTCATATTGTTGTCCATTCTTCCTCCGATATAAGTATCCCCCCTTCCTTCTCCCATTTTGTCTTAATGTATGAAGTTGAATGTGTTTTAAGATTTAACAGATCTTTATATATGCATGAAATAATTTTACTACAAATATCTAAACTATTGAAACCTCTCTGAACAGTTCAGTCAGACATGTATTTGGCTTGGTTACATTTTTAACTTTCATACTAACATAATGTCGCATTTGTATATATCGATAGAAGTCCTGTTTTTCTAGTAGGTGTTTCTCTTTAAGGATTTCACTTCTTTATTTACATTGCATAGAACCGTTATTCCTTTAGCTGTCCAGTCTTTAAATCTAGTATCCAATCTATTCAGTGTGAAATCTGAGTCATATGCACACCATTTAAGGATTACAATACCTCCTCCTTTAGATTCTTTTAAAACATTTTTCCACATTTTAAGATTCCATTTAACCCATGGATTATCAATAGTATTTATGTAGTTCTGTAAGTAAAGTCAGTGTCCTAATCATAGTTTACAGGCACTGTGTGTGTGTCTGTGTACTGGATGTATAGAGGAACAGATGGTCTGAAGGTCTTAACAGTGTTTTCACCACATGGAGGCTGTGATGTCAGAAAACTCCAGAGCTTTAAACACTCATTTTATTTTATTGCTATAAAATAAATCCCCTGTCGGGGTTCTGTTTGATGCTTACAAGTTGTAATGTTGATGTTGTGTGTGTTCATTTTCAGCTCATAATGAAAAAGAAAGTTCAGGTTTTACAGGAAGTAAACAAGAAGAAAAACCACGGTAACAAACTGAAACAGATTTAGTCCAGCCTGACGTACTGAATTAAACCAGGTTTATCCAGTAATCTTGCTTCATGGAACGGATCTCAGACGGCATGTGGATGAACCTCTGATCCACTTTATGTCACATGTTCATTTAAAAAAGTGTTTTTAGTTTGTTTAAATCCAGAATAATGTAAAATAAACCTGCTGAAGTCAACATGTTTCTTTAATACTCTCATCAGTTTCAGGGTGTAGAGTGATTTATTTATTTATTTATTTTTTGTCTGATCTTTCAGAGTTGGTTGAAGTGGTGAGAAACTTTGAGGCGATGAGGAAGAGATGGATGCACGCTGAGCTGGAGCTGAAGAAGTACAAAGAGCTGCTGGTGAAGTCTGATGTGGCCAAAGCTGCTCTGGAGGTCAAACTGAAACACGCTCGAAACCAGCTGGACGTGGAGATGAAGAAACGTTACAAGGTGGAGGCTGACTACCAGTACCTTGTGAGTCCCAACAGGAGGAGAAGAGGTTTGGTTTAATGTGAGCAGTAAAAGAGAGGATGACTCATGGCCTGCGGTCGAAAGTCAAATAATCTCCTCTCTAAGCATTTTTCCTTGACCTCAATGGAAAACATCATGAGGTCAAGGAAAGGTGTGAAGGAGACTTCATAAAGATTTAGGAAAAGTGCGGAGAGAAAATCCCACTGTACTTACCCAAAGCTTTTTTTTTTTTTTTTTTTTTTTTTTACTACCTCTATTTCTAACAAATGGAGGATAAATCCTCCTTTAACCACAAAAACAAACATGACTGAAATGTTGAAATAAGAAAACATGAAAGGGACAAAAATTCAAATAGAGAAAGTTCAGCCATTAAAGTAATGTTTAAATAGAAATAATGAACTGAGGAAGAGATCAGAATAAATTATATTCAGACAGAAGTATAAACAGTTTCCTGGCATATGCCTTTTGACATGTCTTTACACTTGTTAAAAGGAGAATAAAAAAATAATAAATAAAAATAAATTTTTAGGTCTTTACACAATGGGAGGGGATTAAGTGAAACATTTATGTATAGACTATAGCACTTAGTTATGATAATGATGATATTGTTAACTGTAAATTTGATATACTTGTTCTTCATGATGACCTAAGGAAAAAAGATTTTTCGACCGCAGCCATGCGATTCATCTAGAGGAGGAAGGTTAGGATGAACTTGGCACTTGAATGACTCCATGATGTTTCCTAGCGCCCCCCTCAGGACAGAGTTCACATGTTCAGTCTTTGAGAACACAGAAATGTTGAACTCTGCAGCCTGCAGGGGCTGCTGACAGCACTTTAACTGTTGATCTTGTCACTGATGTTTCCAGCAGAGGCAGATGCAGCTCATGTGTGACATCCTGGTCCATGACAGTAAATCCAGCGCCTGTCTGAACGATGAGCAGAAATCTCTCTTAGCTACATTTGAACACAAAGCAGGAAACGTGACTCTGCACAGGAGCAGCAAACGGGAAGTGAAAGATGAACATGAAGCTGTTGAAGTGTTTCCTGAAGAGCAACTTCACACCAGATCCACTTGTTCTGAGTTTATTTCACTTTATCTATTGATCCTGGTTCTATAGTGCTCATGACAACAGAGGTGACTTTACTTTTTCCAGAGAAAATCTACTAAATGTGTTTTCTCCAGAAAGAATCTTTATTTTCAGTTTGGTAGGTGAAAACAATAGAATGTCCACAGGGGGGATGTTTGAGTCTGTGTTGAGTTGCTCTTCTGGAGAGGTCAGTAAAATGTAGTTCACCAGTTTATCCACAAGGTTTCACCTTTGTATCTGTCCTGTTTCAGTCCTGTTGGTTTTATACAGTAAAGTGTGGGTTTTCACTTGGGCATTAGAACATGGAGACTGTTGCTCCTGGTGATACACAGTATGTTTCATAGGTTTTTTTACACGTTCTGTTTCACAGGTTCTTTGCACTGTGGGTTATCTGTGGGATCAGCAGCAGTGATGTTTATTCAGCCTATGAATGGTTGTGGTCATTAAACGTCTCTTTCGGTGTCCCTTCAGGTTGTCTGTGATCGACGAGTCGTCTTTCCTGTCTCACTCTGATATCAGCTACGACCGGACTGATGATGACATGGTACCAAGATTAACCTGAACAGATCTACTTGTATTTTCTCTGAAAATTAATTTGCAGACCAGTGAAACCTGCTGCAGACGCGGAGTGCTCTGTATCTGACATGAAGTATCATTAAGACAAGATAATACAGGAACGAGTTCTTCATGTTGTATTTCCTTGAAATGAAACATTTTGAACACTCTTCTTGTTTGTCAACGGCACTGCTGATGGTCAATAAAGTGTTCTGTAGTTAATTGTTGCAAACTTTAATAACCTAGCTGTGTGCAACCTGATGTGATTAAGTTTGTGTTTTTATGTTTCAGGATCTGGACACAACAGTGATTAAACCTCTGAGATCTCGAAACAGAGAGAAGAGGGTAACTGACACCCCTCCTGAGCACATTTGTTTATTTCGGCAGAATTTAATTTTAATCTGCTGCACTACTATCCTGTGTTCACCTACTCATAAAACATGTGGACTTTATAGACCAGTTTCTATAGGAAGCGTCACAGGTTTAGACCTTAAAGTGTTTGATTGGTATTTTTGTTCCCTCCTTTGTTTTTGATAACTTGTATGGCTGCTCTTTGTAAAGCACTGAATAATCATAAAGTAATTACTGGTTGTGCTACATAAATAAGCTTCTGCCCTATTGCTCTGATGGTCTGTTGGTTCTCTGCAGCGTTCGTCGATGGGGCCGGCAGTCAGTGTTCCAGTTGTGAAGCGAGGCAGAGGCAGTAACATGTCTGCTGAGCTGCTGGAGAGAAAAATTGTGGAGAAGGTGAATACATCCATGAAACTAGTTAGGAACATAGAGCTGTGTTCCTCACTGAGGGGCCATGTAGAAAACAGATGTTCCCAAATGTTGATGGGCATAATAGTGAGAGATTTTAATGTTCTGAGCAGGTTTCATGATTCTAAATCTGTATTTGGACTTAGATAATCAGTAACCATGGGTGTGATTTACACTTTGACCCTCTGTCTTTGTTCCAACCCTTGTAAAGTGGTCAGGGTTGATGGTGCCTCTGACTTCAGTTGATCTTATTGGCAATGGTGGAAGAAGTTCTCTGTTTTGACTGAAGTTAAAGAAGTCAAACCACAGTGTATATAAATACCTGCAGCGAAGTAAATGTGCAGAATCAGTTATATAATTGTAGTAGTTGGTCTTCATTGTCCATCAGGAAGCTGTACCGAGATGTTGTCGCTGGTCAAATTGGAGCTGCTGGGTAGTTTGATCTGATATAATCACATGTTCATAAATCTGTAGTACCTGCAGCTTTTTCCCTCTGGTGGTGAAATAATGGAACATTAAAAATAATTGTCTTTATGTTCTTCGTTACTTTTCTCCTCTGCCTTTTGATTGAAGCACTGATCAGGAAGAACAATGTCACATGCATATAATGTAAATATTAATGGGCCAAGATAGACCCCTGTGGTGCACCACTAACACGATGAATAGACTTGACTCAGATTAAGATCAGATGTCTGTCAGTGTAATCTGTGTGTGTTATTACATCAAACATCAGCTGAAGATGAAACGGTAAAGTTCAGTAACAGTATCTAGAACCTCTGCTCACCCAACAGTTCTGGGGACGATTGAACCACAGGTACTAAACTAGGATCTAAAAGTCCCTTTGACAATTAGTTTCCACCTTATTGAAAGAATGCTGAAGATCAGGCTGATGAGTTAGTTTGTACTTCCTGTTATGTTGGTGTAATGGATGACTGCTGACCCCTCAGTCACAGGAAGCCGACACTCAGCTACGACTATTGTTTTCACATTAGTAAATTGAATGTGTTGTCAGATATTTTATCAAACAAATGATTTTAACTGGAAGTTAGTAATGAAAATAACCAGCATGACTCCTGCTCTCAGAAACCTGTAGCTTGAACTTTGAACACAGCTGATCCAGGACCTGGTCTCTGTTGTGAAGTCTAAAGTTGAGACTGTGTGTGACTCAGGAAGTTGAGACGATAGTGAAGGCGTCAGTGACGACTCCTGAGACTGGAGGTCAGATCCACATGGTGATGGGAATCACACAGGACACCTCAGAAAACCTGGTCCGGACCCTCACTCAGGAGTGTGCTGTTTCAGTGGGAGGTGGTGAGTTTATTATTTATGGTCCCATCAGTAAATATTAAAATCAAATGCCTCCCAGGTCTGTCTCCTGTAAACTCAGCTGAACATTAAAATTCATTTATTGATTTATTTATCTGACAGAGTGCTCATTTGTTTTTCATCTGTCATCCTGGATGATGTTAAAACATGTCAGGCAGAGCAGAGGTCACTGAGAGGAGAGGTCACCCCCCCCCACACACACACACACACACACACACACACACACACACCCCACCCCACCCCCCACCACTACCACACACACACACACACACAAGCACACACACACACACAAACACACATGAGAAAAGAGAAGGCTGCTGTTAGTGTGAAGACATGGCTGGCTGTGATGTGTTCACTGTTCCTCAGACCAAACCTCTGTGTGGCTTCCCTGTGAAGAGAAGGTGGAGCCTAAACCTGAAGCTCAGGTGGAGCAGAAAACTTCAGTCAGAGCAGCTCCTCCCTGCAGATCTGACAAAACTCAGAAACATGTGTTTCTGTCTAAGACGGTACGATCTCACTCAGACATCACACTGAGCTACCATGTCCCATCCCTCAGGGTCTTTTATCTGCCTCCCTCCAGGTGATCCGGCCCGAGATGTGTTTGCCGTGCGGGAAGAGGATCCGCTTCGGGAAGATGGCAGTGAAGTGCAGAAACTGTCGTGTGGTCGCTCATCCAGAATGCAAACAGAAATTCACAGACGGCTGCTCGGCGTCCACGACAGGAAGTACAGCTCACACGGTACCTCAGTTATACTCTGTTTCTACCACATGGTTAAATGCCATTTAGACAGGATCAACATTACAGGGAGGAGGGGGTGTCCCTTCAGAATAAAGCTACAGAGAAAAACAGAGGCTACAGAACTTCATTCAGACACGATGAACGTTACTTTGAATGATTCAGAATAGTTCTGAAATTTCTGTCCAGTTCTCTAGTCTGTCAACATGTTTCTTCATTCTCTAGTCTGTTAACATATGGCTTCCTTTTAGTCAGATAAGATTTTAAAATACTCCTGTTGGTTAAAAAAGACCTGAACGGTTCTGACCCATCCAGACAAGGTCTTCTTACTGTCCTTGGAGTTCGAGGTGGTCTGTGAATTTTTATTCTCCTGTCTTAGTCTGTCTCAACTTATTTTCTATTTTATTGAATCCCTTGTTAAAGAAACAAACAGGAAGTCATTGTTTCTGGATTAGATATCCAGTCTGGACCACACATGTGACAGAGACTGGACTCCGTATGTTTCTGTTGGTTCCTCTTCAGGACTCGTTGGAGGGTTTCACTCCAGTGACTCATCCCAGGGTTCCTCAGCTGATTACACAGTGTGTGTCTGAGATCGAGAGGAGGGGGCTGGAGGAGGTGAGCTCGTCATCCAGACTCCGATCCTGTGGTTGGCTCAGACCCAGATCTGAAAGTGGTCTTGGTCTGAGCTAAAGAGGCTCATGTAGCCAGGAGCACTTTGCATGCTGGGATGTGGAGGTGTTAACAGCCGCTGTTACCTGGACTGGTTTCTTCAGGACGTTTACATTCTGTCTCCACTTCACACACACCAACCAATTGGAGCAGAGAATGTTCATGTTTAGTTCACCTGGTCGCTGGATGTTTTCTGTGTGAAGAGAAACTGAACCACAAGGAAAAGGAGCTGATCCACCTCTATATTACCTGCCTGTCTGTCTACCTACCTGTCCGTCTGTCTGCAGAGAGGACTGTACAGAGTCCCTGGAGGAGAACGTCTGGTAAAGGAGCTCAGAGATCGGTTCATTCAAGGGAAAACTCCGCTCATGCTCAGTCGAGTCCAGGATGTCCACGTGCTGTGTGGTCTCCTCAAAGACTTCCTGAGGAGACTGAAGGAGCCGCTGATCACCTTCAAACTGCACCGGACCTTCATGGAGGCCTCGGGTAGGAGACTGAACCCTGACTGGACTTTAACAAACTGACCCGGACCTTCATCTCTGTTTGTTGAAGAAGTAACATTGGGGTTAAAAAGCCAACAACAGTCTTCCTCCCACATGAAGATGTTTTGATTGACATTGTTCAGGACGAGGAGGGTTATGTGATATATCTGACCAATGACCATCACTGTCTGTTTCAGAGCTTACTGATGAAGACAACAGCTCAGCCATCATTTATCAGGCCATAGCAGAGCTGCCAAAGGCCAACAGAGACACACTGGCTTTCCTCATGCTTCACTTGCACAAGTAAGACCTTTTAGCTTTTCCCCAGTCTTCCTCTGGAAATTAGCTGATCATAACTGGGTTTCAGCCCAGCAGCTGGGTCTGCTATTTTTAATGTCAAACCGAATGTTGACTCTGTGCTTTGTCAGTTTGTCCTCTCTTCTACTGACATACTGTCACATGTGACCCACAATCCCCCATCCTTCCTATGTATGTCTGTTTGTGATGGTGTTAATTGTTTGAATAGAGAGAAAAATGAATCAAATGTATAATGAAAGTTGGTGGCAGTTAATATTCTGCATTTATTTTCAGAGTGATGAAGAGCCCCCAGTGTCAGATGGATCAGAATAATTTGGCGCGAGTGTTTGGACCAACTATAGTAGGTCATGGGATGTCTGAGCCGTCTCCAACCACCATCATGAGAGACACAAACACTCAGCCAAAGGTCAGCTGGGATACGAACACTGAGAGGCGTCTGCACCTCAGATAAACAACAAACAGCTGTTTTTGTGGAAGTCACAACATTAAATCAGATGAGTCCTTGTTTTGTATTAGGTCATTTGTCGGCTGTTGTCCCTCTCTGAAGACTACTGGAGACGTGTCCTCGCTGTCCAGACAGACCAGGTCTCATCCTTGTCCTCCACCATTAAGACCTACACCCAGGAAGGACAGGGTGGGTTTACAGATTTTATAAGTCAACAGCTTCATCACATTCAAGTCACTGCACTCTGCTTTCCTCTGAAATACCTAGTGCTGGTCTGACATCACTTCCTGTTGTTCTGACGGTCTGACTCTGAAGCACCTGGATAAAATACTCTAAAAGACTGAACATGTTTCTTTCTCCTCATTCACTCTGACACAGAAGATGTTGGTGGTTATCTGGATGGAAGGAGGACTGGATTTAGTCCTCTTTCATTTTAATTGTGTTGTGAATGAATCACTTCAGTCAGTGTGAACAAGAGGGAAAATTACAAACACACACACCCCTTTCATTCCTGGCAATGTGTTTTTTCAGGTCGTTTGTTTCAGCCATTAACTTCTCCAGAGCTGAACAGTTACTACAAAACTCCCAGCAGAGGATCTCTGAGAGGCAGGATCAGGAACCTGGGCAACGCTTTCACCAACACGTAAGACCACAACAGACCGGGTCCAACACTCAGACCACCTCCCAGAACTCCACAAGCCTGTAGTGTGTTCAGTGATGAAACAACTGTCCAACACAGACAGCACTGTGTCAGACTGAGGCGTGGTTAAACACTGGTCTGAGATCTTCTGCTGTAGCACAATATCATAGAAAACAAATTCAAAAGTGCTTTGGTAAAATGATTGACATAAAGACAAACAGCATGCAACATGAACATCGACACAGACATCACCAAACAAGTTAAAACTAATTACAGAGAAAAGTCTGAAGACAGACGTGTTGGTGCAGGCAGGATGCCACAAACACTGAGAGCTCTGTCACCAGAAATGTCTCCTGTGATCTAAGTGATCCCACAGGTTGATGAACTGGTAGCGTGTCAGATATCTGGATCAAGACCATTCAGAGGAGCCAGAGGAAATGTGTGAGATTTAGGGCGATACGGTTAGACCTAGTTAGGATATATAGTTAGCTAAACATAAAGCTGTTGGCTGTCACATGAAGACCAATGAAAACACAATCATCTGATCTTGTGATGGAAGGTCATCAAAAATAACTCCCAGGTTCTTGACTTGGTCAGTGGTGATCAGAGGCCAGGAGCATGCACTCACCTCCTGCCTTTGAGCCTTTGTACCCAGCGCTACTTCAGTTTTTTCTTTGTTGAACTGCAGAAAGTTTAGTGACGTCCAAAGATCAGTGAGCTACAGGAAGTTTAACAGTAAATCTAAAACACTGATGTTAGCAGGAGATAGGGAAATGTAGAGTTGAAGCCAAGTGGAAGCATATAAAGATTGTGTGTGGTCGAGACCTACTACTGATGGCCCCTTTTAAAGAAGAACAAACAACGGGTGTCTTGAAGGAATGGGGGAAATGCTGTTAACAATGGTGAGGAGGTCACCTGCTAAATAACTGAAAACTGATTTTAAATAGGGGCAGGGATTGGATCAAGGGGCGTAGGTGGAAAATCAGATCCAGCTACAGCATCAACCACTGACACTCATGGAGAAATGTTTATAGTGACTACAGCTACAGGACAAGGCCAGAGAGTTATGAAACAGGGTGGAATGATGTACTTTACTGGTGCAGATATATAGACAGATACAATTAAAACAGCCAACACACAGTGAAACAGGTCTTTGTCTTTGTTCTGGATCGCAGTCTGTGAAGTCTCCAGTTACACAAAATCCAGTTCTAAAGTAAAGATCAGTGTGGTTTTGTTTCTGTTGGTGGTCTGGATCCTGGACCTGACTGCAGCAGTGACCTGATGTTTTCTCTCCTTAGAGGACAAGTTGAACCAGGACGGAGGTTCTTCACATCCCCCAACTGAGTAAAACACTGGTGACTACACTAAAGCCTGAATCACACATTTAAGAATACACTAAAACAAATGATTTTGTGACCTGTCCTAATTCATGGTGGTGCATCCTCAGCATGTGGGTGACACTGGTCAAACTGGTCAGCCATGACAGTTGGACTTCTGAGGCAGCAGTAAAAGAAAAGCTCCCTGCAGCTGTTGTAACGTGAAGTAGTATCTGTCTGTATGTTGATGACCTGGTTTTATATGTTTCAGACTTTACACTGGGCTCACTCAGCTGATTCTTTCTTCGGATCCTAAAACACTTTAAACTGAAAAATAAAAGCACCTGTATTTTCTGTGAGAAACTTGAAATAAAAGTAAAATATTGAACTTGTAGATCATTGTTGATTTTTATTTCCCAACAAGCATCGAGGCCTGAAGGATGTGAGATACTAAGAGAAAAAACCAACAGATCATCAGGAAATGTCCTGATATCCATGATCTTTCCTCCAGCGGGGCCTTCAGGTCAGACTCCACATGTTCCGATCCAGGACTGGTAACACTCAGGCCCAATCCCAACATCCACCCTCACAGACACACAGACTTTGAGGCACACTCCCGATAAACCTGTGAGGGCTTTGGCCTGTCGCACTGTCAAACCATCGAGGGCATCAGTGCTTTCTAGCGTCTGCTATACACACTTTCCATAAGTCTGCATTTCTGCAAACTTTGCCTGAGGGAATTACCCAAAGTTCATGGCGTTGTGAAATTAAACAGTTTACTATGGTTACAAGGGTCACACAGAAGTGTAAAAAAATGGTAAACAAACGCCATAAAACAGAAAAAATAAAATACAAGTAGAATGGTGAACGAACAAGCATGAAAGGTGCTAATGCTAATGTTAGCATTACAAGAAAAAAGACAGTAGGTGACAATGTAAACACAGAGCTTGAACTGTGTGTAGTTATCTCTGATCATGTGATAAATTATAAATCTGCTTCATCAGATCTGATCCAACATTATTATTCTGTTTACAAACAGGAAGTGAAGGAAGGGATTAAAGATGCAAAATCAAAAGTCACAAACCCACAATGGACAATGTTTTACATGCTGTCACAAACTGCTGTCTTATTCTTCTTTATACAATTTTGAGTTCTAACAGCCTCTCACACTCAGTCATTGACCAGGTGACATCAGTTAAGACTGTGAGGATTCAGGTCTTAGGTCTTGGGCGAGACAATGGGATTGGGCCTAAGAGGATGTGTCTTCAGACTCTGGGTGTAGTAAACTCTGCAGCCTGTGGGGAGCGCTGACAGATTCGAGTAAAAGTAAAATGTACCAAAGGTGCAGTTGAAGCTTAACTCATGGTTGATGATCAATATTCCTCTTCTTTGAAAAATTACAGAAAAAAACATTTTCATGTGAAAACAACATAATGTGGTAGATATGAGGTTTTCCTCTGACAGTAAAGTGAAATAAAGAAGTGAAGACTATTCACTCCATTTTACTTAAGGCTTTTTTCCTCTGTGCTTAACCTGTCTCATCATTAAAGCAGAGTCCTACCTGAGAACCACAGCAGCAGCATCATCAGCAGGTGAGCCATGTCCAGGTAGACGTCTGTCTCTTCTCTGACTGCTTTACTCATTTTATCTCATCATCAGAAAACTAATTTGCAGCTTCTCAGAACAGAAGCCAATAATAAACCACAGATTAAAGAGTGAGTTCACTGAATGTATGTGACTGATGTTTTCAGATATTACCCTGAATACTCATCAGTAGATCATATGTTCTGTAAATTAGATTTTAAACAGTAACACAGTAATGTGTGTTCTCTGTGTAAAGATATAGTGGAATAATGGCATCCTGAGCAGAGAACAAAGCCACACCCCTTTTCTATGTGATGTAATCTGAGTTTCTCTGCTCTTTGTTTTGGTAGCAGAAACCACATTTTCATCTAAAAAGGCCTCCAACAAAGAAAGACATGAGACCAGAGCACAGGTGGACTGGACTGAGGACTACGGGCTAAAATCCTGGTCGGCTGGTGGACTGTCAACATTCATAAAGTTTTAAGTCTTTACCTGCTCCATCAGTGTCTTTACCAGCTCCGTCGGTGTGGCTGATGAAGCATCTGTTTTGGTCTGAGATGCTGGAGGTCTAGTGACTTTAAATTAGACTGGACCCATGAATGTTGTAGCCTGTGACTTTGTTAATATGGTCATAATATCCAACCTTGTTTACTGACTTCATGACTCATGCTGTGCCGCCAAGCTTTATTATTTTGAAAGAATATTCATCATGTGACTTCTATAACAACACAGTTGGACTCACGATGGAGACAATAAAAAAAAGACTCAAATTAATGTAGCAGGGTGAGAGATACTTTGGGCTAAATGCTAAAATCAGTATGCTAACATGCTAACATGTTTCAAGAATTTTGTTGGTCCTTGTACTTCTATTTGGCGTTAATCATGCTCTAAATTTTGGAACTACAGTTCATGAGAACAAAATTATTCTAATGTCACTGAGAGTTTGGAAGTTTGTTCACTGTTAACATTCAGTCCTCACTCTGATGTTGGTAAGATCCAGTGTGATGCACATTAACAACATATTGTCCCACCTCTACACATCCCTTTGCCCCCCCCCCCCCCCCCCCCCCCCCCCCCCCCCCCCCCCCCCCCCCCCCCCCCCCCCACCAGACCATCCCAGTTAATAATTCCTTGGTGTTTGACAGTAAAAACAGCCATTGAGGAACTGCTGGTCACCCAAGGGTGAGTGTTACCAGGCAATGAGACAGAGACACTGTTTATTTTAAATCACAACATGTAGAACGTCACACGTCAAACAGCTGATCATGTTTTCATCATCTGTCACTTTGTTTCCATTTAACAAAATAAAAACCATCAACTCAAAGGAAAACCAATAAAACCAATCAGTACTATGTCAGTGACATCACTTCCTGTGGTGCTGCTCCATGAGGAGAGTCTTTGCTTCATTCTGCCACTGCAACACCCTGTCCAGAGGACACTGTCCATCCTGAGAGAGAGAGAAAGAGAGAGTGAAAGAGAAAGAGAGAGAAAAAGAGAGAAAGAGAGAGACAAAAAAAGAGAAAGAAAGAGAGACAGAGAGAGACAGAAAGAGACAGAGAGAAAGAGAGACAGAGAGAAAGAAAGAAAGAGAGAGACAGAAAGAGAAAGTGAGAGAGAGAAAGAAAGAAAGAAAGAGACAGAAGTGAAGTTAGGAACTCACAACAACATTCACATCTGTAAAGCCTCTTTTCTGCTGGTCAAAAACCCACTAACATCAGGCCAGATCACATGACTCTGCAGTAGACACAGGTATTTATCAGCTCCTGCTCCAATCGGCATTGATTTTCCTGCTGTAATGCCTCAGAGCACAGACACTGTAGACACACCTGTCACCTGTCAGTTGTCACCTGCCCAGCACAGTGCTGTTAAAGTAGGAAAACTGCAGCAACGATGTGCACTGGGATTAAAGAGTGAGTGATAAGTTTTTAAATCACAATCTCAGATCAAAGTGTAGAAACTGCTGGAAGAGAGAAACCTTTCAGTTTACTCCTGATTCGCAGAGTGTGTTACCTGGTTGGTGATGTGTGTGTCAGCTCCGTGCAGTAACAGCAGCTGAATGATTTTGAATCTGTTGAGTCGAACAGCATCGTGAAGAGGAGTGTCTCCCTCCTGAAACAAACACAGCACACATTAGACCTTCTGTCTGTGTGTGTGTGTGTGTGTGTGTGTGTGTGTGTGTGTGTGTGTGTGTGTGTGTGTGTGTGTGTGTGTATGTGTGTGTGTGTGTGTGTGTGTTGACTCACTCTGTCCTGTGTGTTGAGGTCAGCTCCACACTGAATCAGGTGCTCAGCACAGTCATGGTGTCCAGTCCGCACAGAGACATGAAGCGGAGTGCTGTCCAGCTAAGACACACACACACACACACACACACACACACACACTGTTATCAACTTTTGTGACAGTAACAGAAATGGTCCTACTCTTGTCCCCATTTCACCACATAATATATTTATACCATGTAATACTTGTTTGTTAAATGCAACTTTATTACTATATTTGGGTAAAATTACAGGTTATACCAGTTGTAGTATGGTCATGTTTTCCTACTAAATATACAGTATTTCTCTGAATAAAGAACAACTTGATGTGCAGTTGTATATTTTTGAAGACAATAGATTTGGATTTGTCTGTTTTCCTGCTACATGTTGTGTTATAAATTATTCTTATGTGTGTTTGTTGATGAGAGTAGAGAACGTTTCTGTATCAAACACTGACTACTGTAATGTCAGTAATATTACCTTGTCCATGGCAGTAGTAGTAATGGCAGTAGTATTACCTTATCTGATGCAGTAGTAGTAATGTAAGAAGTATTTATGACAATGTGCTAAAAATGTCCTAGTATTCTATGTGGTATAAACCGTCATAGTATATGTTGTAAAAAAGTCCAAATATAGTATATCATAAAAAACATCACAGAAAAAAGGCATTGCGTAACTATGCCAGTTATCAGGTTTGAACCCACAACCTTTTGATTGCAAGGCTATGGTGCTAACCACTGCACCACCTTGCCACCCAAGTCATTGTATAATAAGTCATAAAAACATCATGGTATGTTATGTCATAGTGATACGAGCCAGCTGTCAGGTTCAAACCCAGAACCTTCTGGCTATGAGGCCACAGTGTTAACCACTGGCTACAGCGCTAGCCTTATCTTAATGTAGTAAGTCATAAGAATGTCATAGTGTGTTAAGGTATAAAAATGTCATATTGATTCAAGCCAGATATCAGATTTCAAACCAGAACCTTCTGGCAGTGAGGCAAGAGTGCAAACCACTGCACCACCATGCCACCTATCTTTTAAAATAGCAAGTCATAAAAATTTCATAGTATAGTACATACGTCATACTATGACTTTTTTACGACATACTATACTAGGAAGTTTTTATGACATACTACTATGAAGTTTTTCTAGTATATCGTAAAAAAACATAGTATAGGACGGTGTGTGAAACATTATAGTATAGTAAGTCATAAATAACATCATAATATATAAAGTCATAAAAACATCATTGTATAGCAAGTCATAAAAATGTCATAATATAGTAAGTCATAAATAACGTAATAGTAAGTCATACATCTGTTATATATATATATATATATATATATATATATATATATATATTCAAATATATATAACCCCCGAACCTCACACAGCTTCAGTGATGTGTTGAATGCTTGAGTGAAGATGGGGCCTTACTGGTCAGCACAGGCCTTAAGGCAGGAGGGTGATACACCATCTGGGCCTGGGGCCTTCCTCATCTTCTGCCTCCTGAAGAGCTGTACTAGTGTAAGTAAGACTAAAACTAAGTTGTAAACTTAATAGTATAGTATGTCGTAAAACATTCATGCTTTATGTGTTGTAAAAAACCTCCTGGTATAATAAATAGTATAATAGTATAGTATAATAATAGTATATAGTATAATAATAGTATAATATCTCTTGAAAAACATCATAGTGTAGTGTTTCATGAGAAGCGTCATAGTATAACATGATGTTAAACCCTAATATTATAGTATGTCATAACACACATCATAGTGTAGTAAGTCGTACAAACTGCATAGTGTAGTATGGCATAAGAAATGTCAGTGTAGTATGTCATAAAAACGAAATAGTATAGTATGTCGTAAAAAACCTCCCACTATATTAAAAATATCAAAAAATACGTCATATATACTCTGTTGTAAAAACGTCATAGTTTGTCATTAAAATATAGTCATAGTACAGTAGGTCAAAACATGTATTACGTCCTAAAAACATCATAAATGTCATAGTATAGTATGCTGTAAAAACATCATAGTATATTAAATCATAAAAATGCCATACTATTGTATGTAGTAAAAAACGTCATAGTTTATTATGTCGTAAAAACATCCTACATGTCGTAGTATAATATGTCGTAAAAAACTTTATATTATTTTATGTGGTAAAAAGATCAAAGTATAGTATGTTGTAAAAAATGTTATAATATAATATGTCATAAAAAACAGAGTATTGTATTTCACTAAAAACATCATAGTATACTATGTCATAAAAACGTCATAGTATACTATTTTGTTAAAAAAAACATCATAGTATTGTATGTCGGAAAAAACATCAGAACAGTATAGCATAATATGTGGTAAAAATGTAGTATGTTGTAAAAAACAAAATGGTTTATTACATAGTAAAAATGTCCTAAATGTCACCATAGTATGTCATAAAAATGTCATAGTATTGTATGTCGTAAAAAACATCATTGTATAGTATATCAGTTAAACATCATAGTACAGTATTTCCTAAAAAAATGTCATAGTTTATTACATCATTAAAATGTCCTAAATGTCATAGTACAGTATGTCGTAAAAAATCCTAGTATGGCATATAAAATGTCATATTATAGCAATTTATAAAAAGGTATATTTTGTCATAAAAATGTCCTAGTGAAGTATGTTGTAAAAAATGTCATAGTATATTATGACATAAAAAAATGTTATAGTATGGCATTTCATCACAACATCAAATGTTACATTTAGGTATGCCATTTGTGTGGAGTAGTAGTAATACCAGTAGTATTACCTTTTATGTTGCAGTAGTAGTAATTCCAGTAGTATTACTTTGTGTTGCAGTAGTGCTCATACCAGTGATATTACCTTTTGTGTCCCAGTAGTAGTAACATCAGTAGCATTACCTTTTGTGTTGCAATAGTAGTGATGTCAGCAGTATTACCTTATCTTTTGCAGTCATATTGGCTCCGTTGTTCAACAGCTTTTTTAATACAGACAGATGTCCTCCTCGGCAGGCAGAGTGGACACATGTTGACCACAGCTGGATGAAAGAGATAATCAGAACTAGTTCTAACCAGTACTAACTCTGGATTAAAACCAGTTCTAGCTCTGGATTATAACCAGTTCTAACTCTGGATTAAACTGGTATTATCTCTGGATTAAAATCTGTTTTAATTTTGGATTAAACTCATACTACCTCTGGATCAAAACTGGTACTAACTCTGGACTAAAGTGGTTCTAAATATGGATTAAAACTGTTCTAACTCTAGATTAAAAACCGTTCTAGCTCTGGATTATAACCTGTTCTAACTCTGGATTAGGCCGGTACTAACTCTGGATTAAACTGGTACTGTCTCTGGATTAAAGCCATCTCAAACTCTGGATTTAATTGGTACTAACTCTGGATTAAAAGCAGTTCTAACTCTGGATTAAAGTGGTTGTAAATCTGGATTAAAATTGGTATTTACTGGATTAAAATTGGAACTAACTCTGGATTAAACTGGTACAAACACTGACTAAAGTGTACCTTGTCTCTACTGTTGATGTTTGCTCCAGACTCCAACAGTTTGGAGATGACGTCAATGTGACCCTGAGAGCATGCTCTGTGGAGACCTGTACGCTCAAACTACACAAATAAATAAATACAAATAAACATTAACTTCACACAGTGAATACACATCAGCTAGTTACACATTACACACAGGGTGAAGTGTGGATGACTCACTGTGTCACAGGCATTGATGTCTCCACCTGTGGACAGGTACTTCTCAATCACCAGCTCCTGAGCTTGATCACAGGCCTTAAAGAAATCCTCCTCATCCACATAATAAGGCTGACACACACACCAAACACACACACACACACACACACACAAGTAAAAGTACTGATACCACAGAGTAAAAGTATCCCAGAGTCGTACTCAGTTGCTTTTCACCACTGCTGCTCTGTCTTGTTGTTGGCGATGGTCACTGATGTTGTAAATATGAGGGTTCAACAATGACAAAGATCACCTGGGGATATGTGCAGGTGTGTTTTGGTCTCACCACTGTCCGGACAGCAGGGGACGCAGCGGCGGGTCTCGTGACAGAAGCTTTCTGCTGTTTCTTGGTCTTCCTCAGCAGCAGAAGGTTCTGGAGGTCGGCTGGAGTCTCCAGGAGGAGACGGCCAGATTTATCTGTCTGAACCAGGACAGGAAGAGAAACACAAGACTTCAGACTGCAAAGGGTTAACATCTGAACCTTGTTAGTATTGCTACTACAACTACTATTAGTACCACTACAGAATGACTGCTAGTACTACTACAGGTAAAATCCAGGTTCAGAGAGGACCGGGCAGCTGGTTTTCTGTGTCATGACAAACGGTTGTTTGACGACAGCAGTACAGTCATGTTTCCCATTCACTGATGGTCCAGGAGAAGACTGGTGGGGGACAATCTCACTCTGATATTTAAACTCTGACCTTGAGGTTGCCTGGAGGCTCAGAGTCTGGGTTTCTGCTGCAGGTCTGAGTGTCCTGCTTCTCTTCAGAGACAGATGACTCGTAGCCTCCATCCTCCACCTGCTGAAGACACACAGAGACGAATGTCCAGGTTGAGAGGCGGGGTACACCTGAACAGGTCACATGTTAATCACAGTCCACACCATTCATGTCACATTCACACCTACGGTAAATTTAGAGTCACCACATGTTCGGACTGTGGAGGGAACCCACACAGACACTGAGAATATGTAGAGTCCACACGACAGGTTCAAACCCAGAACCTTCTTACTGTGAGGTGACCACTGTACCACTCCACTGAACACAAAACATAATGTGATTTTGTGTAAACCATAATAGTTTTCAAAATACTGATTCAACCTAAGAGACTCTCAAGTCTTGTGACCCGTTTAACATTTCAACCATTTTTCTAGGTTGTAGTATGACCCAGCAGTAGAGCTCCAAAGCTGAGCGTTTTGAAGACGTCCTCCCATTCATTCTGTATGGGAATTTTTTCGCCTTTTATCGCCATTTACATCACCATTTACATCGCCATTTACATCGCCATTTACATCGCCATTGTTATTCAAATCGCTTAGAAAAGTCATCGCACACCATTCCTGCATGCATTCATACATATATATATTATCTGGGTTTTGTCAAAGCTGTGGGACTAGTTACACACAGAGATTTCAATACGGAAGACAGATAGATATGACAAATAAGTATGCAGAATAATAATATATGCCTTCAATGTTATTGCATTGCAGGCACATAACTAATAATGTTCCGTTTATTATTGCAGAGAATACACTTTACACATGTGCTCCAGTTCCCCTCCAACATCCAGAACAGAAATAACAATATAGAGATCCACCACACAGCACCTTACACCTCTGACCCCATGCCTCCTCTTTCTCATAAAACTTTAGTAGCAGCTTAAAGAGTAACAGCAGCCTCAGTTTACAGCTCTATGTGTGCGTGTGTGTGTGTGTGTGTGTGTGTGTGTGTGTGTGTGTGTGTTGGTCATGACCTTCTCTGGTGTCATTTTATTGGCCAATCACTTCCCAAATTGGAGGGGTCAGAGGTCAGTGGGGGTCATGTGATCTCTGACAGTGAAGAAGAAACAAACAGACGAACACTGATGTGTAAGTTATAAACTCTGCAAACACACACACACACACACACACACACACACACACACACAGCAGAGTCTGACTTATTATGATGTTTGGCACTTTTCATATTCACAAAAGGAAATGTAGTAAAAACTGTTTTTACTCAACTAAATTTGAATCAACACATTTCTATGTCCGACGCACAACAGCAACAAAACTCAGTGTGATGTCACTGAGGTGTCGACATAAAACATACATCAGACAGTCAGCTGACAGACTGACAGATTGTTACCATGACAGCGACAGGTGGACCGGAGCCAATCGTTAAACTACTTCTGATGTCACTTTATTATCAACCAATCACGTGTAAGAGGTCGCAGGACACACACACACACACACACACACACCGATCACACAGTGTGCAACAACACACAGGACTCCATACACTCAGCACGCAAAACACCAAATATCACATATATAAAACCACAACCCACACACAGTGTTATCATCCAGTGTTTAAATGAACTTATATAAGAACAAGTTCAGCAAAGGCAGAAGTTGATTGATTTGATTGATCAAACTTTGTTTCTCTGAATCAAGACTCGAGATAAACAGGCTAATGAGCAACCTGTGAAACATGTATTTAAATATCCACACACATATAATCAAACAGTTTGTGCTCGTATTCATTATTCAATAACATCAGATATTTCATATGTTGTGTTTCATGTTCACATACAACTTTAGAACTGAACAGATGGAACCAAAGGAACCAAATCTGACTGGAACATGTTTCTCAGTGAATTAAACAGAAAAAGAAAAGAAGTCTTCTCACCACTCTCATTTCCTTCTCCTTTTCCTCTTCATCCTCCCAGCTGATTAGCTCTGATCTGATGGTGTAAAGAAAACACTACGGTAGACAAAACATGTAAAGTCTGGAATCTCTAATTTATTTAACTTGTAAACCACAGAGTCACATGTGAAGCTCAACAACTGCTGGACCCAAACCAGACATTTAAAGACATGACACTGAAATCAGATCAGAGCAGCTTTTAGACAGACAGAAGAACCCAGCATGGGTAATATGAAAATCAATTATTAGTAAAGAGCAATGAATGTTTTCCATGAGGAAAAAAACCTCACCTCTGCAGCTCCATGTTCACAGCAGCAGAACAAGATTAAAGATGGAGATGGTGACAAGCTTCACCTCCATCATCCTCTTAATATAGACACACACACACATTTGTGTGCTGACCTTTGATCCTGCCGAATGAACTTGCAGGAGACGGCTGCTGACCTGTCTGACCTTCAGCAACCAGAGAAGAAGTGCTTCAGTTTTATTAGTGGACCTCTTCTTATGAACATTAGCTGCAGCTTTGTGGCAGGACATGGACTCAGCTCTTGTGTTCATCCACACACACACCTCCCCCCACACCTGTCCCATTTCAGACGATGAATACACCCCCCCAGATTTGCATATTATCATCAGAATTGTATCTTTTCGGTGTCACATTTGGAACGTAATGCATAATTCAACTGTTCAATGACTCACGAAACCTTTTCTCTGCATGAGCAATGTTCATGTGAACTGGATGGGATAGAATGAAGGATCCAGTTCTTCTCTAGAGACGGGAAACAAAGTCTGAGGTCTGAGGTCTGATGTCAGGAGAAATGTCTGATGCGTGGACCCTGGATCAGCAGCTGCTGTACTGTGAGTGTCAGCCTCCATCTGTGAGTCAGTCTGTTCTACAGCACAACATTAAATATGTAAGAACACACTTAACAGTGTCACTAAATACGAATATATACAGTATACACACACGTGTGTGTGTGTGTGTGTGTGTGTGTGTGTGTGTGTGTGTGTATTTGTGTCCTGTTATAAATCCTCCTTCATGAAGGTTAAACTTTTTCAGTTGTTTTGTTGTGTCATTTGGAGGCTGCAGTTTGTGCGGAACTGCTGTATTACAGCAGTACAGTATTAAATCATACAATTTAGGTAAAATAGCTTTCATTCCAAACTCAACACTTGAAAATTGTAGTTTTTTTATGTTTTCTACCAGATTATTTCATTTGTCCATTTTTGGCCAAGGGAGCAATTTCATGTAATATTCTTAGTTTCCAATAGGGGTGTATGATGGCTTACTGCCCTCCAATGGAGCGAATGAATGACACAATTTTGACATAGGTGTGATCTTAAGGATGTCAGATAATGGTTTGTGTTTGTGCCTGTGCCTGTGCCTGTGCGTGAAATTGTAGCACAAATATGTACGTATTTGCAAGATAGAGTGAAATAAATGTTCCAGGCAAATTTGGCTTAGATGCACATGTTGAAAGCACCTGTAGCTTTCTTATTTTCGTAAAAAATGCCTTACCCAAATATCTAGTCTCCAAAAAAATAAAAAAAATCACAGGACATCTTGTAGAGTTCAAAGATGCAGCTGCAGGGTAAACAAAAACAAACTCTTCCAGATCATTTTTTTCTCTGGCAAGATGGCAAGAAGGTCATATTCACTGCTTCAAGCACTTGACTATGTGATGCACTCAGAGAGTGAAGATGGGGAGAAATCCTCTGCACTTGAAGAAGAGACATCTTCTACCCAAGATGAGGACACATCCTCTCCTGAAGATGAGGGGACACCCTCCTCAGAGGATGACAGCATCACCACTGATGATGAGGAGTACCAGCCAGTGCCTGATTCCTCTTCCTCAGGGGGTGAGGACGATACAGACACAGCGGTGGAGGCCGAGTAACTGATGGCAGAGAAAGTAGGAGCAGTGGCAGAGACAGAGGAGCTGGCGGCTGAGTGGATGTCTCGTGATGGGAAAATGATGGCAGAGGAACTCCTCAGAAGAAAACTGGCTCTGGTTGGCACAATCAGGAGAAACAAACCAGAGCTACCTCCCCAGCTCCTCCAGCTGCGACAGAGGAAGATTCTGTTGTCTGTCTTCGCCTTCACTAAAACTACCATGGCGGTATCCTACATGCCCAAGCGAGGGAAGAATGTGCTTCTTTTGAGCACAAAGCACAGGGAGCGAGCATTCAGCGACAGGGAAAAGAGGAAGCCTGCAGCAATCCTCGACTACAATAAGTGCAAAGGCGGTGTGGATAACCTAGACAAGGTTGTTGGCACCTATAGTTGTCAAAGGAAAACGAGCCGCTGGCCGCTGGCTCTCTTCTACAATCTCCTGGATGTCTCGGCATACAATGCCTTTGTCCTGTGGAAATCAGTCCATCCTGAGTGGGAGTCCTCCAAAACCTACCAACGAAGGGTGTTCCTGGAAGAACTGGGGGTCATGCTGGTGACCCCAGCAATTGCAAGATGGCCTTGTCCCCTACACTCAACAGCCGCTGCTGCCACTGTTGTGGAGATACAGCAGTCTGAATCAGAGCGTGACCCACAGCCTGCCAGCAAAATGAGGAGAAAGTTTGAACTGTGCACTTACAGGAGAAGAACGACAACCACTTGCTCCAGCTGTTGAAAGTGTGTCTGCAAGGACCACTCTACTGTGGTTTGCACATCCTGCCGCCATGCACACACACACACTCACTGAAACACACATTCTTATAGCATTTTGTAAAAACAAACAATAAATGGGCATTTTCGGCCACTAACATGCCAAGTGGGAGTTTGTCTTTTTTGTCACTACTCAAAAGAAGTAATAATGCACTGTTACTGTTACTGTAACTGTTACTGTTACTGTTACTGTTACTGGTACTGACCTGCAATGATGATTAAAAAAATATTAGGTTGCATCAATTATATGGTGAAAAAAATGACAACTCTCTCTCTTTCTTTCCCTGAAAAGTTAGTGGTTATATGTAATCTAACTGGTATTTAAAGGGTTAAAGTTCTGGAATTGATTAAAATTTTGGATTTCATGATCAGGACTGATGCCAAATTAAAAAATTTAAGTAGTGAAAGTAGCAAATATTTTCAGTAGTGTTTGTATAGCATTTTGCAAAAGCAAACAGGAGATGGCCATTTTTGTCAATGAACATGCTAAGTGGGAGTTTTTGTTTTTCTGTCACTGCACAAAAAAGTAATGATGCATAAAAATCGTTGATACTGCTAATTATTGACATACATTTAGCTGCAATGATGGTTAAAAAATAAATTAGGTAGCATGTATTATTTGGTAAAAAAAAAAAAACAGCTGAGCTGTATATACCGTTATTTTCAAGCAGAACCAATAACTAAAATAAATAAATAATAATAATAGTAATGAGGGTTGTAGTGTCAGATCTGGATCCTGCAACTCCAGAGAGTCTGCAGAGACAGGGAGAGAGAGAGAGAGAGAGAGAGGGAGAGAGAGGGAGGGGAGAAGCACAAACTATAGTAGAGAGAAAATGCAAAGTTAATGACATTTCATATTTTCTTATCTTCCTGCTCTAAGATACGATAACCTCAGGTCTGAAGCTCATCAGAATCTCTATGAATAAAGCCTGATTTCAAACGTGACTTATTTGCCCCAGACCAACTGTAGAGGGTTGAACTGGGCCACATTTGCACCACAGACATTCAGTTTGAGGGTCAAAGATCTGCCTGTTGGAGGACGTTTGGGTCAGTTCTCTGCAGTTTGAGCAGGACTTTTAATTAATACAAGAGACAAATGAAATCCTGTTTAAAACAGGAGAGAAACACTGACAGATCAGAGCGTTCATGTTTCCTATGGCTCAATAATTGCTGCAGTCGAGGATGATATGATAAAATATCTTCAATGGTTGGAGATGTTTACATCTTCATACTAGCAGGTAGTGATACACGTGACATCAAATGTTAAACTTCACAAAGTAAATGTCTTTATTCTGAACACAGACCACGCTTTTTAGTGTGAACACACTCAGAAGCTGCTGAGAGTCAGAGTGTAGTGTAGCACTGTGTGTGTGTGTGTGTGTGTGTGTGTGTGTGTGTGTGTGTGTGTGTGTGTAAGTGTGTATGTGTGTGTAAGTGTGTGTTACAGAGTCCAGAGAAAAGCTTCCACTGAGTTATGTAACAGTTGTGTGACTGTCCCAGCCTTATATAACACTAATACAGACAGAGAAGAGATTAATAATAGAGACTAATAGACAGAGAAGAGATGAAGGTTTTATTGTCCTGCAGAATCAGAAGTTTCCTCCAGTAGCCAATAATATCATTAATATCAATAACACCAATATTTCCTGATCAGAAACTAATTTATCTGCTTGACCTGACAGAGACATCTTACAGTCAGTAACATTCTGTCTTTGTCAGTAATTCTCTAATCTTCTGTCTGTCAGTAATGTTCTAATCTTCTGTCTGTCAGTAATATTCTAATGTTCTGCTACAGCAGTAATGTTCTAATGTTCTCTCTCAGTAATGTTCTAATGTTCTGTCTCTGTCAGTAATGTTCTGATGTTCTGTCTCTGTCTGTAATGTTCTAATGTTCTGTCTGTCAGTAATGTTCTAATGTTCTGTCTGTCAGTAATGTTCTGATGTTCTGTCTCTGTCAGTAATGTTCTAATGTTCTGTCTCTGTCGGTAATGTTCTAATGTTCTGTCTGTCAGTAATGTTCTAATGTTCTGTATGTCAGTAATGTTCTAATGTTCTGTCTCTGTCAGTAATGTTCTAATGCTCTGTCTCTGTCAGTAATGTTATAATGTTCTGTCTGTCAGTAATGTTCTAATGCTCTGTCTCTGTCAGTAATGTTTTAATGTTCTGTCTCTGTCAGTAATGTTCTAAAGTTCTCTGTCAGTAATGTTCTAATGTTCTGTCTCTGTCAGTAATGTTCTAATGTTCTGTCTGTCAGTAATGTTCTAATGTTCTGTTTGTCAGTAATGTTTTAATGTTCTGTCTCTGTCAGTAATGTTCTAATGTTCTGTCTGTCAGTAATGTTCTAATGTTCTGTCTGTCAGTAATGTTCTAATGTTCTGTCTCTGTCAGTAATGTTCTAATGCTCTGTCTCTGTCAGTAATGTTATAATGTTCTGTCTGTCAGTAATGTTATAATGTTCTGTTTGTCAGTAATGTTATAATGTTCTGTCTCTGTCAGTAATGTTCTAAATTTCTCTGTCAGTAATGTTATAATGTTCTGTCTGTCAGTAATGTTATAATGTTCTGTTTGTCAGTAATGTTATAATGTTCTGTCTCTGTCAGTAATGTTCTAAATTTCTCTGTCAGTAATGTTATAATGTTCTGTCTCCCTCAGTAATGTTCTAATGTTCTGTCTGTCAGTAATGTTCTAATGTTCTGTCTGTCAGTAATGTTCTAATGTTCTGTCTCTGTCAGTAATGTTCTGATGTTCTGTCTCTGTCAGTAATGTTCTAATGTTCTGTCTGTCAGTAATGTTCTAATGTTCTGTCTCTGTCGGTAATGTTCTAATGTTCTGTCTGTCAGTAATGTTCTAATGTTCTGTCTCTGTCAGTAATGTTCTAATGCTCTGTCTCTGTCAGTAATGTTATAATGTTCTGTCTGTCAGTAATGTTCTAATGCTCTGTCTCTGTCAGTAATGTTTTAATGTTCTGTCTGTCAGTAATGTTCTAATGCTCTGTCTCTGTCAGAAATGTTTTAATGTTCTGTCTCTGTCAGTAATGTTCTAATGTTCTGTCTGTCAGTAATGTTCTAATGCTCTGTCTCTGTCAGTAATGTTATAATGTTCTGTCTGTCAGTAATGTTATAATGCTCTGTCTCTGTCAGTAATATTATAATGTTCTGTCTGTCAGTAATGTTATAATGTTCTGTTTGTCAGTAATGTTTTAATGCTCTGTCTCTGTCAGTAATGTTCTAATGTTCTGTCTCCCTCAGTAATGTTCTAATGTTCTGTCTGTAATGTACCAGGAGCCATGAATGTGGCGTTAACGTTACTCTCAGTAAGACATTTCATGTCACCTTCAGGAGGAACCAGTCTCTTCAGTCAAACTCATAAATCTTCCAGATGTTATCTGGTGTTTTAGCTTCTCCTCTCAAGAAAATCCCAGTCACAGTGTTGTTAGTGAAAAATCTGTGAATGATCAGCTGCACACAGCTGTGCTAATGCTAATGCTAATGCTAATAAATAACTATGTTCGTACGTGACTAAAACAAATTTTAGGTTTTGTTGACTAAAACTAACAAAAATGTAACATCAGAATCCAATTCTGATGGACACAAGATGCTGCTAAACTGAATTAATCCAAAGAGCGTTCATATGGTGAGAGATGGTTCACACCTCTTACATAACACTATAATCTGGGAGTGGAAACAGAAGCTGGGAAGGAGGAGTTTGGATCTGTCGCTTACTACATGATTTGTATCTGACACATCTGGATAGTGACATTTACACTGGCTATTGATAAACATTCTTGTTACATCAATGCCACATTGTGATCACATCTCAATATGTAAATTACTCAGACTGGGCTGGAGTTTATCAACAAAAATGGGGAGTCCCAGGTGGAGGGAAGCAATATCAAGGAATATGATTCGTCACTACTGTTACTACCTGTAATTCATGACTAGAACATAAACAAATACATAATACTATTTAATGCAGGTGTAAATGGAGTCATGTCTGATAGGTCATCGAGGATCTCTGTGAAGCACTCTGTCGTTACTGCATCAACATGAACTCTAACACTTTAGCTTCATCTAATCAGATTTCTGAATGATTGATTAATACATCAAGAAACAAAAAGAAGGTTTAAGCACTATAAATATCAGACTTTTATTCTGGAAGGACACATAAAAAGGAACAGTACAGTACATCACTTCCTGCTTTAGCAATACATCATGACATTATCATTACATTGCACTTTGCAGTTGCTGATGCTGGTAGCTAGCCAGTTTAAATGCCATTAATCATATCTGCTAAGTTAACATAAGCTAACTCCAGCTGAAGTGTTGCATTCAGGTCACGTCAGAATAAAGACGAGTGGACTTTAAGTCAGAACAGCATCTAAAATCATCTGAAAACAGCTGTGATCAGCCCCGCACACTGGAGGGTCCTGGTGGTGCTGGTGCACAAAGCTGTGATGGACACATTACTGCCCCCTGTGGTCAGAGAGTAGAAAACCCCCATTCAGACTACTGCTGCTGTGTGGTGGGGTGTGGACAGAGCTCCACCTGGACAATGATCAGCTTCACATGAAGACAAGAGTTTTTAACAGTCAGAAGCTTCGATTGAAGCACCATAGCTAAGGCGGAGCAGTTCAGTACAGCGCCACCTTGAAGACCGGAGTGGTAATCACTGACCAAGCCTCATATTTCTGCTGTGATGTGAATAAATTGAAACTTTCTATGAGCATCTTCACAGTGAATGAGACAGAACTAGAAGAACCATTTGTTATAAAAACTGTCCCTAAAAACTCATTAAATACCCTCACCTTCAGGTCGTAGTCATTCATCCATCATGAGTAAACCCCCACCCCGCCCCTCACCCCTACTCTCCTCCGGTTCTACAGGCATCTTTCACTATAAAATCAGACGTGACATGAACGCAGCACAAGGCCATTCAAACATTTAGACTTCTGGCAGATCCACATAGACAAAGCTCAAGACTCTGAAATGACTTTGAGTCAGAGTTACAGGCTGACAACATGAACTCCCACATTCAATTTAAATACTTTACTTTTTCCTTCAGTCTCCAAAGCACAGACACACACAAACAAATAAACACATACACACACATACACACACTATCAGGGTAAGAGCACTGGAAGTGGATTTTTAAAAGCTTTTAAAATGGTATGGCTACAAGAGCTAACAGGAAGTGCAGGTTTAGCTTGACCAATCTCCGTCTATAGCAGATACCATGACAGCAAGAGTACAGTAGGATACTAAACTGCATAGCAACACCAAGAAGAACTCAGGTTGTTCTGTAACTACTTTCTACCAGGGGCAGAGAAATACCAGATATACCTCTTTAGCACAGTTAGCATCTTTTAGAACGGGAGGGGGAAGGAGGTTGCCACAAATACAATCTATCCATGGTTTCATAGGTACAGAGGACAGCAAATTCAAGTCTGAGTCAAAACCCCTCTAAGACAGAGACGAGTGTGAGATAATAGAAACAATGTCTTGAGACCGGACTCTCGTACTACAGCCCTGGTTCCATACTAGAGAAACCTTTAGTCCGAAAACAGAATCCAAACTGGGAACATACAGAAGTGAGTCATTCTTATTTTCTGCATAGTCTCCAAGATAGAGGTCTTGCGAGGCGGTCTGGTCGTGACACTATTAAAATCTTTCCTTGTAAAGTTACCTGTTTTGCTCACACCACCAGGATGGTGATGTTTAACACCAAATGTGTTGAACACTAAATTTATAAACTCCAATGTGAGGACAGAAAATTATCAGATATGTGCAGGTTCCTCTCTTTGAGTTTTGGTGTGGTTAGCGTAGACTGAAACTCCAACTCCAACAGTCCAGAAACTTCACAGTGGTTTCTGTTTGAATAGACCCTGAGACAGGGGTTGGCTCAGTTCACTCTGAATTCATAGCAGTTTAACTATTTGCTCATTCTGCTTGTGTCAGTCTTGTCAAGCAACTGATAAGTCAAATATAAAGTATTGGTCCTCAGGGGAATAAACATTTCTACAGAACCCCAAAAAGGAATAAAATAACTTTTCATACTGGACTGAATCCAAATGCCAAGTTCGTCTGTAGGTGCAGGAAAGTCCGGACATTTGGTTTCAGCCATGCTCAAGACCCAAACTGAGCCAGGTGAGGTTTTTGGGTTTAGGTCTCAATGTTAAAGATCATCAAAGCTGAACTGAGCCTGAAGGCATCGAGGTTTAACAAACAAACAAGACTCAACAGTCTGCAGAAAAGTTGTCAGTGCAAAGCACAACAAGTAAAACTCTTTTTAACACTAAATGTTTGACTGATTTCAGGCATCTGGAATATTCTCAACACAAGGTTTCAGGCTGGTGTTTCAGGGCTTGAAGCCATGTTGCTGGTCTTGACTGACAGCTGTTTCAGCACTTTGACATCCTAAAGGGCTTCAGTTGAGCTGTCATGGTGGGAGAGAGAGAAGAGATGGGAGGTCTGTAGTTGAAAATGCAGGAAATGAAGAGGGAACTTTAGGAACATGTCACATCCTTGGACCTGAACACATAAATCCTCTGTTGATCAATCATCCTAATATTGATGAATTCTCAATAGAAGGACCTGGTTGCTCAGCTGTTATGAAGAACACAAAGCTTTGTGATGTTTAATCAAAATCAATGGAAGCTTTATTCAAAGCACTCCTACAAAACCTCTGTATGAAGATTATGAATAATGAAGCCTTGTGGAGCTTTGTGAGGCACATGTAAGACCTTGAACTCATCATTAATCTTTGGGAGGTTTTAGGAAAGCACATACATTTGTGTGGATCATCTGAAGTTTTACAGATCATCTAGTGGATCCTTGTGAAGGTTGACAAATCATTTGGGGGCTTTTACAAAGCTTTCATGACTCCTGATTCTGTGTATCTTTTCCCATGAGGCAATCCCAGGTGAGCCAGTCCAGCTGTGGCTGAGTGTTGGCTGAAGATGGAGCTTATAAGGCTTCATAAATGGTTCAGGTGTCGAGCTGGGATATTTTAAAAGATCATCAGCTCAAGTTTGCACCTGGAACCACTTGGGCCAGTCCTGGTACTTCAAGTCAGTCTGGGAGTATGAAATCCAGTTGTGCCAGAGTTAGTCATCCAGAGGTTACACTCTTCTTTCATAAACACTTAAAATAATTAATTTTAGGGAGCTGAAGTGACTCAAGTGAAAGACCATAGTGTATTACACAACCACACCGGGATCCCCTATGATGTGGTTGTTAGGTACTCATGTGAAGGTCCTGTGAATCTCTGACAACAAGATCACAGAGTGAGTGCAACATCAAAAATGTCCTGTTGTGGTCTCACCAGTAGGGGGCAGTAGTCTCTATGTGACCCCAGCTCTGCCACTCAGGGAAGATCCCTGCTGACGTCCTGGGACTGCCAAAGGGATCAAACTCCATCTCCTCCCTCTGCTCTCCAACGCCGTCTCTCTGAATTTCCAGCCCCACTGTACTCTCAGTGCTCCGATTTGGGCTGCCATTTGGGTCCGCCACTACCAGACCGTAGTTGTTCCCATGGTTGTTGTCCCAGAAGGTCTGGTCTTCAGTCTGGTACTGAATGCAGAACTCTACTCTGTTGGAGGGCTCAAGGAGCTCCGGCACTGAGACCAAGAAGGAAAAGGTGTCAGTGTCGGGGCAGCCGTAGACGTTGTTCAGGTAGCGACACTGAACATCCTGAAAGGAGCACCAGGAGTCAAAGGTAATCCGAACAGAGACGGACTTCTCAAAGCAGATATTTCGGACCTGTACAGTGCCTGAGAGAATGCGCTCCTGGACAGAGCAGGTCTCCAGACAAACCTGCTGGGCTTTGAGTCGGTTCCTCAGGTCCAGATAGTCTGCAGCTGGCTGGGTGAAGCCAAGAACCAGGCCTGAACCACAATCTGTAACATCTGAAAGAGGAATAGAAAGGAAAGGGCAGACCATGAAATAAAATCAATTAGTATCATCATTTATTATTAATTTTACCATCTTCTTCAAAAAAGGAATCCAACAGCAGCTGCACAGATATATTAACCACTGCACAGGTATATTAACAGCTCCACAAGTATATTAACATCTGCACAGGTATATTAACATCTGCACAAGTATATTGACATCTGCACAGGTATATTAACATCTGCACAAGTATATATATATATATGTATATATATATATATATATAAATATAAACATACACATATATATTAAAGTATATTAAGTATATTTTGCAATGATGTCATGTACACTTAATAACTAGTGGACAAGCTCCCCTTGCTCGACCCCTCCCGCACCCGTTTGTTTGTCACCTTTGTTGCCTCCCAGGTGTAGTGCAGCGGTGGCGCCCTCTATCTCAGTTAGATGGAACTGCAGCTCAGTCAGCGGGTCATTCTCGGCCTCGTCGATAACATGGATGGCAGTGAGAGCCAAACCTTGAGAGTCAGCAAACACCACATTCTTCTTCCTCCTCGCCCTCCCCGAGCTGCTGCTGATCTCCCTGGCCGCTGATGGTGAGGTTGTGGTTGCCATGGTTACGTTGCTGCTCAGACACGGTCGTAGCGGTTTGCAGTGTTGCAGCAGAGCAGCTGCTGATGATGAACAGCAGTTATCATAGTTACCAAGGAAGGAGCGGAGGGGAGGAGAGCTGGCCAGGCAGATCCTCACAGCCATGTTGACAGGAATGATGGGAGAAGAACCCCCGGGGCGAGGGTTCAGGATGTGGAGGACCCTGAAGTAGGACACAACAGGTTTTTATTTATTAGACCTGTTTCTATAGACCTGAAGAGGAACTCAGCTGGTCTGAAATCTGGGCCTGTGTCAGAAAGTGAGACTTAGTTTGGGTTTAACTCAGGTTTATTCAGGTCAGTCTTGGTTTAACTCAGAAACAGTAGAGGCAGTAACAATACAAACAGCAGAGACCGAAACAGAAGAGACAGAAGAGAAGGTAGACACAGTAGAAATAGAAACAGTAGAAACACAAGTCACACAAGACAGTAAAAACATCGGACTCGGACACCGGAAGGTCGTGACGTCGCTGCTGTGGCGCAGTTTAATATCAGTCAGTCTCCTACCTGGTGCAGTTCATTGAAAAGTTTCTCTCTCAGTAGAATCCAGTAGAATTTGCCTCAGCCCGACACGAACCACAGACACAGACTGGAGACTTTTCTGTTTCTATTTTAAATTCCTCTGTTTTCTACTGCAGCCATTTTAAGAGGAAAACACCGCTGCTAACAGCGCGCTCCGACACGCCCCCCGAGAGAGAGAGAGAGAAGGAGAGAGAGAGAGAGAGCAGGAGAGAGAGAGAGAGAGAGAGAGAGAGACAGAGACAGAGGGAGAGAGAGAGAGAAGGAGAGAGAGAGAGACAGAGAGAAAGAGAACGCGAGGGAAGGAGAGAGAACCAATCAGCGCTCCGAACCGTCAGCCTCTCTCTCTCTCTCGCTCTCTCTCTCTCTCTCTCTCTCTCTCTCTCTCTCTCTCTCTCTCTCTCTCTCTCTCTCTCTCTCTCTCTCTCTCTCTCTCCCCCTCACCCAATCAGAGAGAAGCCAAAAAAAAAATGACAGTGACGTTGATTACGTCAGACACAGGACAGAACTCATTTATTTTTTCATTTTTATGTGAAAACAGTCACTTTACACTATTTAAATAATAATAATAATAATAATAATAATAATAATAATAACATGTCTGAGCCTGAAAACATGAGCTAAATGTTACAGGATCTCACCTGAGGCCTGAAAATTTGCTGCTGCCCAATTAGTTTGTCTGCAGGTAAATTTAAGGTGTATATGTAAAATGTCATATAAACTTTAAAGTCTCAGCGGAAATAAACCAGTCCAGATATTAAAACATATTAAATTAGTTCATTTTTTTCTGTTTATATCAGCTGACTTCAGATCAGAGCTGATACATCACATCCTGCCACAGGGAGTCCTGTCAGACAACACTAAAGGCTGACATGTGACAGCTGACCTCAGTCAGCTGGGAGGGACTCACACTGACAGTCTGCAGACAAGATAAATCACCATTCATCATTATGATCATCTACATCATAATGTCACATCTGCCAGAATATGAATAACTGTTAATCAAATCACTCAATGTAATGACACTGGATCATTAGAAAGTTTGAATGGATGATAATAAACATTAATAATAATGATTAATAAGAGCCCAGTCCTCCAGTTTATAATAATAATGTGTTTAATAGTTGTTGGTTAATAAGACGTACAGGCAGCTGCTGTGGTCTGTTCCAACAGGAACTGTGCTTCAACACTTTGGTTACATCATCTCCATGCAAACATCCTCCTCATCAATAACAAATAGAAGTGCTTATTGAGGTTTGTGCAAAACAAAGTAATACTGTCAGAAAAAAACGGTGACTCTGAGCTCACATTAAAACTCTGTACCGACAAGAAATACTGAAGACCTTCTGCTCACTGCTCCGCTGCTCCAGGACCACCACAGACCTCTAGGGGGCGCTGCAAGACAGCCACAGACCTGCAGGGGGCGATCTACTGCATTAAGTTAACATACTCACAAAATGTGAGCCAGGTTTGTTTGAAAACATTTTTCTTATTCCTCTGGAACAAGAGACCCGGGTGGAGTCAGTGGGTGGAGTCAGATGTCCATCAGTGTGTGAGCACCTCTGAACCTCTGACTGAACCTGGTTCTGGTTCCTCTTTGGTTCTTCTGGACCTTTTCTGAACCACTTTTACATTAGGTTCTAAAGGGTTCTGTGGAGACTCTCTGGTCCTGGGGGGTTTAGACTCAGACCGGAACCAGACTCAGAAGGCTCCACACACATCAGTCTACAGTCTGTTACTGAGACACAGCTGACACTGACATCACACACTGCTAAAACAGCTCAGCTAATCAGCAGAACCGAAGTAGAGCAGAGTGAGCTGTGATCGGATGAAGCAGCAGAGCGACGACAGTTTTCAACTAAAAGTTTCAACAAGTGAAATTATGGCATTGACAGTGCAAACAGCTCCAACAGGATCCGTCCCTGATACCCAAAACCACAAGACTAACACAGTCGACACTGTGACAAAAACCTTTCTCATTAGAACACAGGAGAACATCAGTAATAATGTGTGGTTCCTCCACCACATTCCCTCTGAAGCTTCATTTTTGGATCAGAGAAATAAATTAATCTGGTTAATGGCCGACCCCTCATCCTCCAGAGACGAGTCCACATTTCATCCTGAACTTTCCTTCATATCTGAGTTTTCTCATTTTTATAGAAAGAATAGATTCTTCCTTCACTGTCGTGTCCTGATGATGCTGCAGAGATCAGAGGAAACTACGAGGAGGTCAGAGGTCAATCATACCCTGTTGTAGTCGTTGGATCCTCTGTCCAGGAGCCTTTTAGCAAAAATCTGTGGCAATTATTTTCAAGATTCTAAAAATAAATTTGATAAAAATCAAAATTTTAAAAGTTCAGATTCAAACAAATGTTTTAAATTCAGAGAGAGAGAGAGAGAATAGAAAGAGAATCAATGGTCCTCTCCTTCATCCGGCTCATCCTCCTCCTCCTCTCTTCTCCCACCCCACCCCCCTACAGACAGATGTTGATCTGTTTGGCCAGCTCTCGGTCCAGGTCGTGGATCAGAGTGTCGAAGTCCTTTAGGCTGAGTCGGCAATTAAACGGAGCGTCAAAATCCATGAAGTCGTCCACATAGAGACCTCCTCCTCCTCCTCCTCCTGATGACCACACCTTCTTCTTCTCCTCCTCATCTTCATCGCCGCTGCCTGAAACAACATCAGGGAGGCGTCAGAGTGACCGGTGGATGAGGGGGGATCAACATTTACTCGATAAACATGTGTTTACCTGCATCACTTTCACTTCCTGCCACCTCATCATAGTCGGCTTCCTGTCCCGACAGAAGGTCTCGTCCACAGACGCTCCAGTCCCCGGCGTACCGGTTGATCGGTGGCGGACTCTCAAGCCGGGCCAGACCGCCTCGACCCCGACGTGACACCACCACCTCCTCCTCGGGATTCTGAGGCAGAGCCAATCGCAGTGCAGGACGCCGCTGCTGCTGAAGACCCAGGGGGTTATGGGTAAGGGCAGGGGAGGGAGGAGGGGAGGTGTGAGTATGGTCGTCTGCTGGGATTCGATGTGTCGGAACTGAGGAAGAAGATATGAAGATACAAACTGAGCAAAGTGACTCTTGTGAAAGGTATGGTCGTTTCCATGGCAACAACAGTTTCAAAGGGGCAGAGCTGTAATTTTAGTATATAAACTAAAAAATATGTCTCCTGCTCTGTAGCCCCCTGCGCCTCCCCTCCTCACCTGGCCACTGCTGAAGCAGGTAGTGCAACGCCTCGATGTGTCGTTTAAAATCCACAGCACTCGCTATCTCTTCACCATGACCAAGCCCTTTCCCTCCTCCTCTTCCTCCTCTCCCTCCTCCTCGTCCTCCTCCCCTCCAGGCCTCCTGGGTCGGGGTGAGGAGCACGGGGCCGAAGCAGACAGCGAGGTTCTGGTGGTTCATCCTGTTAGACGAGCTGAAGGATGCCACCAGGCTGAGGTGGTCCAGTAAGAGAGACAGGGTGGCCTGAAAGAAGGGACATGACCTCATTGTAAAACCAGGTGATGAGGTCAGAAGAGATCAGTGTGTGGGAAGAGAGTTGTGGTGGGGTTGTGTGAGGTAGTCATATACAGTCAGTGTGTTACCTGCAGTAGATTCAGTTAAGAGGAGCAGCAGGAGCAGAGTGATGAGCTGCTGTGGGCGGGGCCAGAGGAAAACACCTGTTTCAGACACTTTTTAAAGATGCCCACCGAAAAAATCCAATATCTGTTTAAATGAAGCTTCATGTAGAATATTTTCAGCTCTTTATCTTCCTGTCAGAGCACCTTTACTTTGGCACTACATTTTTTCAACCACTGAACTACCGTACTCCTACGCACAAGCACGCCTACAGTGTGCACTGTATTACGCCGCAGCCACAGTCAGCTGAGTGAATCAGAAAGAGGTAAACATTGACGGGAAGATAAAGAACTGAAAATATTCTCCTTGAAGCTTCATTTAAACAGATGTTGGATTGTTTCAGTGGGCATCTTTTAAAAGTGTCTAAAACAGGTGTTTTCTGTTGGCCCCGCCCACAGCAGGTCATCACCCTGCTAGTGTACCGGTCCTCCTGCTGCTCTAAACTGACTCTACTGCAGGTAACACAGTGACTGTACATGACTATTTCACACAACCCCACATCAGATAACCACAACTATCACTTTAGAGTCACGATTGGCTGATGAGTCTGTCCTCATGTTCACTCACTACCATAAACTGATCCCAGCTGAGGCTTCCTGATGTCTGATGGGTAATGTAACCATGGTTTCCCTGCTTGTCCTTCCCATGGTCTCAACATATTTTAATTACAGTTTACATTCAGCCTACATGAAAACCAGGATCAGATGCTGGACTATGTCTTACCCTCTCTGGAGGCGGGAGACAGGACAACAGCTCCACAGTGCATTGGGCCAGCTGAGGGTCAGGGGTTGCAGGTGGGCCAGGTGGGGGTCGTAGGGTCATAGCCTCCCTGACCACCTGGTACAGAGTCCTGGTGATGAGCGGAGATGGCAGCTCTCGCAGGTAGTCCTTCAGTATACCTGAGAAAAAGCGATACTGAGTACAGCCAGTCATCAAGGTGAAGTCTAAGTTGTGTCGTCACCACGTCTTTAATGAAACCTTGTGTAGCTGCACTGTGTTCACATGGGACACACCCACCTTGGCCTGGTGCTGAATTGCTCAGGTCCACAACTCTGAGTCATCAAGGTCCTGTTCAAGTCATGAAACTCAAATCTAAAGTCGTGTCTAGGTTGTTGAAGCCAGGTATTCAGATCCACATCACCATGGTAATGTCTCAACATCAAGACCATGTCTAAGCCATTAAAGTTAAACTCATCACGTCAAGTACAAGTCCTTAGAGGGACCCTGAGGAGTTTTTGACCTCAAGTAGCACTGACATGATTCACTCTACTCCACTGATCTATAGGTGGAGGTGACGTCCACTGAATACAGCGTCCAGCAAAGGCAGTAAAGAATAAGAAAAAGAAGAAGAAGAAGAAAAAGAAAAAGAAAGAAGACTTTGAAATGGACCATTTAAGATTTTTGGCATAATGTGTCCTAAATAAAGTTGTGTGAAAGTCAAAGTTTCTAATAAATTACCAGTCAACAATAAAAAACCCCACAATCCAAAAAAGAGCAAAACACAACAACAACAACAACACACTCCTACCTACAAGTGAAAAAACTAAAAGC